ATTCGTATCACCAGTCCCGGATCCACAAGCGTGGGCAACGGACGCACTAAGCATATCCTGGGAAGGCCTCAACACGTACGCGTTTCCGCCGCCAGCGCTATTTCCAAAGGTGTTACAGAAAATCAGACAAACTCAGAGCCTCCAACTGATTTTTGTCGAGCCCTACTGGCCAGCGAGAACATGGTTTCCCATTCTAATTCAAGAAATCGGACAACCAATACTACAACTACCAAAGCCAAATCTACTAGTACATCCTCACACCAAACAAGCGCACGGAAACCCAGAAGCATTCCAACTTCACGTATGGACTGTATTAAAGTGTGTCTAAACAAGAGAGGTTATTCAGCCAGAGCGGCGAAAGCAGTTACGCTTGCTTTACACAATTCTACGCGCAACTTGTATGACGACAAGTGGCACAGTTTTGAGACATACGCTGTTAAAAAGGGATTTACAGCTAGAAATGCTACACATCCACAAGTGGCTGACTACCTTTGTTACCTACAACAAACTAAACGTCTAAAAGGCTCGACATTGTCAACATATGTCGCAGCTCTAAGTTCAGTGATAACTATGAGAACGGGTGTCAAGTTAACGAAAACGCCAGAATTACTGGCCTTGCTACGTTCATTCCGATTGGAGGATCAGAAACAGAGATTTCGCGCTCCAGCATGGGATCTAAATATAATGCTCCAACACCTCACAAGTGAGGCCTATGAACCACTGGAATCAACATCTTTTGAATTTCTGTCACAGAAAACATTGTTCCTGTTATCCCTAGCAACGGCAGCCAGGATGTCAGAAATTCACGCACTAGATTATGAGAGAATACGTTTCGATGACAATCAAAACATAGTGCATATGGGACTGCGATGGGACTTTATCGCCAAGAATCAATTGCCAGGTCAACCAGACAGATTATTCCATGTCCCTCCACTTTCCTCAATTCTCGGACCTCAAGATACACTTGACCTAACTTTATGCCCATTGAGAGCACTCAAAATCTATCTACAACGATCCAAAACGAGGCAACGACAACTCAAGCGGTTATTCATCCCTCTATCGACAGCGACTCAGACCAAAGTCTCTCGTACCACCATATCGATATGGATCAGAACTGTCATACTTCGTGCCTACAAGGCTGCAGGACTCGACCCTCCAAGAGCATCTAATCCCATGAAATCAGAGCACTGGCTTCCACACTCGCTCTACACGGAAATTGCTCGTTGAATACCATTATGGAGGGCTGCTTTTGGAAATCCGACATGGTGTTTGCTAACCACTATCTGAGAGATATCACCACCGAGGACGTCTCAGGTATTCACCATTTTGGTCCCATGGTCCTCGCACAGCAGTTGACAGTCCCTCGTAGAGACGATGAGACATAGTCTCACGAGATAATTATGTATATATCATACCAGTATCATCTAGCTTATAACTCTACGGAGTTTTGTGCTATTATATACATATCTTAAGTCTACATTAGTCTTAAGCCCAGTACTGATGCTATATGTACTTTGGGTCGCTTCTCCACTTTGGAGTCGCTTTTATACCATTATTACTATTATCATAGTATCTAAATATTGTAGTACCCCCATCTATGGCAGCTGGTAGAACTTATGTTTTATAGCAGCAGGAATTAGCTTAATTACAGTGCCATTATGAAGTTCCCGTAGGGGGTTATTACATATATATAAATCACTAATTATTTAAATCCAAAGTATTCTGTTTCCCACCTCCGTTTCCGTAGGATTCTACAAGCAAAAGAGCATGAGTCAGGATAAGGAAAGATATGTAATTTTCTGAATAAAATTGATATTTTATACTTATTCTGACTCATGAGGTAAGCCCTCCCATCCTCCCCACATAACACTTTGGATTTCCCTGTAAATTCAAGTGTTGGGCTCGTTAAAACAGGAGAGAGTGAAGCATGAGGGAAGAGGTGGCAGCCTCCTTTCCCGCGCATTTTGGAAGAGGGAGGCAACTCTTGGTGAGTACTAATTAGTGATTTTACATTGAAGGGAGCTTCAATTAGGGAGATACAAGTGTTCCACTATGTTCGCCAGAAGAAGAAGACAAGCAAAAGAGCATGAGTCAGGATAAGTACATTCTCTTCCCACAGAGGTTACTTGTCATATCTTCCTACGTAACCTCTGTTCTAATACGGCCCTTTCATGGTGTGAGCGTTCAAGACTCGTGATTGGAGGCAATCAGATTTAGTTGTGCAATCAGCGACGTTGTTTCAAAAGTGATCATTCGCAAGGCCTCGGTAATTTCCGTATGCTTCGAGAAAACTAAACCTCTTCCCCTGCGCGATGCGCAAACGTTTCTTCTAGACAGAACTCAGTCATGTTATGGCGGATCAGTGGCGTCTCCATCGCCCTCGTTGACAACGGACAAGCTAGCCATTAAACGTCTTGTGTGTAACATCAACACAATTCCCCGGCAGATGGGGGATATTTGTGGCCCCACATTTGCTTGTGTTAGTCAAGTTGAATCTAAGTCGATGTAACACGTGTTCTGATTGGATAGAAAGAAGGGAGATAATTTGTGTTGCGATCTTTTGCCGCTAGGGGATTTTACGAGAACCGAGAAATATGGCCGTATTAGAACAGAGGTTACGTAGGAAGATATGACAAGTAACCTCTGTGGGAAGAGAATGGGATAAGTATAAAATATCAATTTTATTCAGAAAATTACATGTTCAGTTAATATTAAAGAGCGCCCCTACGGTCACAATATATATTTTTTTCTGTATCCATTCTATACATATGTATGATACATATCTACATACTGGATGAACATTTCTGCTTTATGTAACACCCTGATACCTATATTTATGGATAGCGTTCTCGGCAGGATACAGCCAACGGATATTTTCGGTATCCGTTGGGGTCATCTATGGACATTGATGCAAATTAGAGAGGTCATATGCAAATTTTAGGGACTACTTTCACAGTGTAAACAAACATGGCGTCATGCCGATCTATCGGCGATCATGTCTGGATTGACGGCCGTGGTTACGGTACTGTCAGTGCTTTGATCCAAGAAAATTCATGTCTGGTTATGATAGATGGGATGGATTACGAAGCGAAGATAGAAATTCATAGGCTTAACATAAAAACTTATTGGGAGCTAGATGACCTAACACAGTCAATTTAGTGGTCAGTAGAAAATTGTGTCACTGAGCTTGTAACGTAACATATCACTATATTTGTGACATCATAGATATCAACCGCCTCCGTGGTGTAGTGGTTAGAGCGTCTGCCCGGAGAGCGGAAGGTCACGGTTTCGATCCCCGACCGCGTCATAACAAAAGACTTTAAAATATAGTACTTGTTGGTCCCTGTCTGGCGTTCGGCATTAATGGGTACAACAAGGACTGGTCGGCTCGGAGTCAGTTTAATGTGTTTGAGTGGGGTATTCATGCTTCACTGCGGCATGGTATCTCAGTGGGCTAGCACTATAAAACCAGCTTAAGTCTGGGCTAGTACAAGCAGCCGCACATACACATATACACGCATGCACATCGTCATGTCGTCATATGAGCGAAATATTCTCAAGCACAACGTTAAACCCAATTTCACCTCACCTCATAGATATATGTGCACATTCCATGAAGTTTAGTTTCATGATTTGTGGCAATCACATTTTTTTAAAATTGTAAAGTAAGAATGGCATTGTATGTTAAATAGGTTATCACTGTAGAGACTGTTCCCTTTGTTGTATAACTTCTAAATTAATGCAAAAATTCAGAAGACTTAAAATTGGATGTGGTTTGATGACTAATAATTGCACTTTGCAAGGGGCAGTGCAACTCACCATAAACTTGTTTACATTCAATTCTGTTTGACATACCAAGAATAAATCTTGCAAGTCCATTATCATGAGGATGTATGGTCACTGCAAAACATTTTTAACCTCTTACATATGCTATGAATATGTAAATCCATGACTTATAAGATCACACATTTGACTCGCTTAACAATGAAAAAGCAGAAAGTTTTAAGACTTGCTGATTATTTTGTAGACTTTCGTGGAATTTTATGTTCATTTTTGTGTTTGTCATTATCATGTTCACATTTAGAGTGGGAGAGTTATGGCATCCAATGACATGCTGTTATTGATTGATTCAAACACCAAACATAAAGGACTCTGTGATCCTATTAATTTTGCCCAATGTTCTGTCAGTCGAGAACCTTATCCTGAGTCCTGTAGAATTCAGTTCAGTTTGGTATGTTCAACCAATAATAGTCATTTAAACTGAAAAAGTACAGAGAGACCGGTTCCTTATACTTTTCGACACAGATTGTTATATGATTCTACTGTGTCCACTGATCTTACTGTCACAATTTTGGGCAGGTGACATGCATGGAATTGGAAACTGACCTTCCTCAGTGTGTTCAATGTCCAACTAATTTTGATGCACATGAAAAAAAAATCATCTTTTTGTCAGGTACAGAACTTAGCATGAAGCATTTCCAAACCTGAATTGTGATTGTATATGGCAGTGTATGAAATAAGCCAAAAACCCAGCCTGACATCTGGGCTTGTAACTTCCAAAACGTAAAAGCCCAGAAGAGATTTAACCAGTCCTTCTTAAATATTAAATAGACAGTGCCAATGGACACGTTATCTGAATATTTTTTTTCACCCGTCCATCGGGGTGACAAGCTGTAAAATTAGACCGTCCGGCAGAAATCTAGCCCGTCTTGGGCGGTCGGATGGGCCTTATTTCATACACTGTATATGGACACACTTAATCTACACTGTATCTTTAACATGTTTAACTGACTTTTTCAACTGGGAAATGAACATCCCTCCTTGTTGGTCTGGTTGGACAGGTGGAATACACTGAACTTGGTTCCTTGAACACTAGACTTGCTGTTGCCATGGAGTTCATCATTTTGAATACTCCCATTTCACTTTGATGAATTTGACGAACAATACATAATGTATTTGATTCCTTTGTGATTGGTCTGTTCTTGCTTCTCTCATTACAGGTATTTGCCTGGCAGATAGCTGATCAGCTACTGCGCCTTAATCAGTCCCTAGAATCATGCTACTTTGCAGCTCAGACAATGAGAACAAAGGTCAGTAGTGTATTGATAATGACAGGTATCTATCGATTAGTCACAACCCTTGAAGATCCAGGTTAGAATTGATCTTCAGTATTCCATGCTTGTCGTAAGAGGCGACTAACAGGATCAGGTGGTCAGCCTTGCTGACTTGGTTGACATGTGATCTAGGGCTGCAACGATTCACCCAGACCTCGATTCAATTTGATTCTTCATACAAGTAAAAACATCAGATTTCATTTAGCTCTCAGAGTTGGCTTTTTATCATGAAATCCATCGTTAACTATGATAGCAACAATTCTCATTGGATAATTTGCCCAGCATCAGTCAATCACGTTTCGCCTTATTTCAGCCTTAAAACTGCTCGAGTTGGAGTCAAAATTACATTCTGGCTGTGTGGAAATAATTTAAATAGGTATTCCAATATCAAATAGTGATAAGATTCGACAATGTGTCAGATTGGATTTTCGATAAATCGAACCGAATTGTTGCATCCCTAATGTCAATCATAACCCAATTGCTAAGATCGATGCTCATGCTGTTGATCACTGGAGTGTCTGGTCCAGACTTATTTACAGACCACCTCCATATAGCTGGAATATTGCTGAGTACGGCGTAAAACTAAACTCACTCACTCACCCGATTTGTAACTGCTATGTGCTTTTATTTGTTTTGGTGCTTTTTTGTACTGAGCATGTTATATCTTAACAGTAATGAACACGAATGTAAAATTCTTTGTTACAATGATAGTGTTACAACTGGTGCACAGTGCAAGCAAGTTTTGAACTGAGAGTGTAAGCCATGTTTCTTGGAGCTAAGCTTATGTTGATTTCAGTTTTACTCAGGCTGAGCAGATGTTGAAGGTAAGTTATGTGTTAAAATATTGACCCCAAATAGAACCTTGCGTTATTTTTGACCAGCTGATTGAGTTGTGCACTTCACTTTCAGATCCAGTATGCCTTCCATGAACTGCCTCAGGCCTCACACCAGGTATAGTTCATTAGTTGACCATCCTCTGTCTGCTTGCCAACAGTTCCTTACTTGGAAGAAGAGAAGGAGATTTCCTTCCTGTTTTATGTTTGTGCCCAGTGTAATTGTAAGATTATGGTTTGTTAATCACAGGCCTGAGTCAATGCCACTGTTTTTTTCCTAGATATTGACCTGTGAAGATCTGGGTTAGAATTGATCTTCAGTAACCCATGCTTGTCATAACAGGCGACTAACGGGATCGTGTGGTCAGACTCGCTGACTTGGCTGGCACATGTCTTCGGTTTCCAATTGAGTGGATCGATGCTCATGCTGTTGATCACTGGCTTGTCTGGTCGGGACTTGATTACTTACAGACCGCCGCCACCATATAGCTGGAATATTGCTAAGTGCTGCGTAAAAGTAAACTCACTCACTCAGTTTCATAACACTGTATTTTTTATTTGAAATGGATGAAAATTAGATAAGTTGGCTCATTCATCAACATAATCCCCTCTGTTACCATGGATACTGTTACTGTAACCAATGGTTAATCAAAACACATTCATGATTCATAAGCATAACTACTTGTTAAGTCAGTAAATGCCAGTGCCTAAATGACATCGTAGGAAGTAAGGCATGGTAATAGTGTTTCTGTTGCCAAACAGTTCACCATGTTTTCCAGAAATTCAGTTATGATTTTGTCTTGAATATTGCTAACACACCATTCTTTGATCCACTGCCAACATCAATCAGACCTTGATGCTATATAGTGTTGCAGTCTCATTGGCTCAACAATCAGTTATTTGCCAATAGAGGTAGCTTGTCTGTTGTTGAAAGATTGATCCAGCATTCTGCATGCTTTAGTGACAATGTGTTTCTTTTTCAAAAGAGATCCTCTTTGGGGTACTTATAAGCATTAAAATGTCCATTTTAAAATTCTACAACAGTTGTACTATATTTTTCAATAAAAATATTTACAAAACAAAAAACTCATTTTTGTCTTGTTGAGCCACCCCTACAGGCACCCTGAGGGCCCCAACAGCCAAGAGCAGGTAACTCTAAGCATGAACCTCGTACCTAACTTTTCATGCTGACGTTCTTCATACAAGACGTGTTCTTATGTTTAGCGATTTTTATGCATTTGACTGACTATGAGTGACAAAGAGGCAAATACATATGGTACTTTTCTTTATCGCACACCCATGAAGGTCCAGGCTAGAATGAACCTTCAGTAACCCATGCTTGTCGTAAGAGACGACTAACGGGATCGGGTGGTCAGGCTCTCTGGCTTTGTTGACACATGTCATCGGTTCCCAAATGCGCAGATCGATGCTCATGTTGTTGATCACTGGATTGTCTGGTACAGACTCAATTATTTACAGATCGCCACCATATAGCTGGAATATTGCTGAGTGTGGCGTAAAACTAAACTCACTCACTTATTTTCTTTATCACACGGGCAATAGGCAGAATTGTACGTTGCTCTTTTCATTCATAATATGTTGTACTTTGCCTGCGTCTCCACTCGTCTTCAAGCCATGTGGCTTGCAAGATGGCGGTCTTTCGCGGCGTTCAAGTATTATTCAGTACCTTTTATGGCTGTCTTGTAGTCAGGTTTCATTTATGGTACAGTAAGGTGGTAGTCCCATCTTATCTTTAACATGCCTTACTTTTTTATTTCAGTGAAATTCGGGTAAGTCATGTTTATTGAATGATTAGCATTAGTGGGGTGGGGTGGGGTGGGGTGGGGTGGGGGATATTTGGGGTCAAGACCCACCTTCAAAAAACATCATACAAAGCACAAACAGTCAAAACAACTAAGTGCTTTGTCCTCCTCGTTGGCTTTGGCTGATGGAGGGAGTAAAAGGGCTAAGCTTACTGATACAGTAGCATCCCCTTCCACACCACCCTCACGACCTGTTGTAAATGTTTCCGCACCGGCACCTATATCTCTTACTGATATATCCAATTTATTGCAGCAACAGTCGCATTGGTCAAGTCTCTTATATATGATGCGGTATGTGGGCTTCGGCTGGAGCTCGGTGCCAATTCAGGTGGCGGGGACGGTGCCGGTGCATCTGTGGGGGAAGGTCCCAATCCGAACACTTGTTTCATGGTGAATCCTGGGTGCAGTACCGACCAAAGTCTCAGCGCCGGGTTTGGACCTCCCTCTTGTTCTGTTGCTGGCACGGGTTCATTCCCTGGTTCTGCGCAGTTACCTTCCTCATGCCATACGGCTACATCCTAGAGGTGTGACGATACAGAAATTTCGCGATACGATACGTATCGCGATAGCTTGGACCGATACGATACGATTCGATGCATATCACGATATGCTGTCTTTAGTTATTTTCTTTAAAAAAGTATATTTTGATAGCAAGTACCAGTGTAAATTTTGACCCAACCGTCAATTTCTGGTGAAAATTAACAACTTTAAGATCAACGATCAACAGCCCCTATCATGGCTTTGGCTCCAGCTACAGGTCAGTCAGCACTGGTCACGGTGTCTCCGGCTGCCGTAGAATCTTTAGGGCTTCCAGGGCAACCTGTTGTTACAGGACAGTCTCAAGCTCTCGGCACCTCGACTAGTCGTGGGACGGTCAATCCGAGCTCTCTCGCTCTTCTCGACCCTTTATCGCTTTCCTAGACTCCCTCGCTTCCCTCCTCGGAGAGTTCGGCTGTAGAGGATAGGGATGAGGAGTCAATGGAGGATGATGAGGGTAGGGAGGCGCCGGGGGAAACGTCTTTTTCACTCGGGTCGTCCCTTCGACAGGTGCGAGATCGTATCGCAACTGTTCAGGTTGGGGTCTACCGTATTTCCTGGTGCAATTACTGTTGTCCGGGAGGCGATGGAAGCTGTTTCTACATTTAAGGATTCTAAATCTTTACTAGAACAGCCTTCCAGCTCTTGTGCTTGGCCTCCGGTACTCGCCTCGGCTTACACTCCTCTTTCTGGGAAGGAGACTCACAAGTGGTCTGCTCCACTTCAGTCGCGCCATGACAAAGACAGGGGTAAAGGGAAGGACAAGGCTCCTGCACAGCAACCTTTTCCGAGGAAGGGGAAGTCAGCCCCGACTTCCCAAGCTTAATTCCTCGGGTGCCCTTGGACGATCCAGCGCAGGGATTGGACACACTCCCTATGACTGGCACTCATTGTCTACTTCCCGACGTCCCTGTAGGCATCCGGCTTTCCCTATTTCTTCCAGAATGGGAAAAAGCAACATCAAATCCCTGGGACCTGTCCACACTCAGGGATGGCCATATGCCACAGTGGACACATGGTCCTCTTGTCTTCTCCGGAATTCGTCGCACACCAGTGCTGCCTTCTCAGGAAAAGGCAGAGATACTCCGTGCCGAGGTCGAGTCGTTACTGGACAAGGCAGCCATCAAGGTGGTCCCCGAGGGACAGGAAGAAGCGGGTTATTACTCGACTTATTTCCTGGTCACCAAAAAGGGCGGAGGGTTCAGACCTATACCAAATCTCAATGGGCTGAACAACATGATCGATGTTCCGTCTTTCAAGATGGAGACACTGCGCTCAGTGATCTCATCGGTAGAGGCAGGGGATTGGCCCACGTCAATCGACCTCAAAGACGCACACCTCCATGTCCCAATGCACCCCGATAAAAAATGACCCATGGGTAATATTAAGAAGTAAGAATGTTTTACCCCGAGGAGCGCCCTTGAATAATGCCCACGGGTCATGTTTTATCATACTTATAAACCGACCAAAGATATAGTTTAGATATAATTTCAATATTTGGTATTTACTGTTGAAATCAACTGGATGAAACTGGCAGCCGACACCTTTCCTTGCACGCACAATGCATGTGCTCTGCATGCACTACCCGTGTCCTGCATGTGCGCTGCCCGCACTACCCGTCTTGTGAGGAACACACGGTCTTAGGCGATCTCACAGCCTCGGGCCTTTGGTCAGAGAATGAGGGCGACCCTTCACATAAATGTGTTAGAATTGAGAGCAGTCTGGTTGCTGTGCGAACGCTTTGTGGATCAGGTTCGAAGCCGAGTGGTTTGTCTAGAAATGGACAACCAAACGGTGATGACCTACATCCTGATGCAAGGTGGTACGGTATCACCAACTCTCCTTAAGGAGGCGTGGCAGTTTCTGCTGTGGTGCGACCAGTTCAGCATTTAGGTGATGATTGTCTATCTTCCGGGGATGGACAATGTTCGTGCAGATGCACTCTCACGGTGTATGCTAGCCATCCCACAAGTGGATGCTCGATGGGAGGATATTCAGGATTATCTCCCATTTGTTAGGATCGTTCCAGGTGGATCTGTTTGCCTCTGGAGCGACGAATCAGATACCAATGTTTTGCTCCCGGATACCGGATCCGAAAGCCATCGCCTCCATTGCCTTCCAGCTCGATTGGGCGTTTCCGCCAATACCTGTGATCCCCAGAGTTCTCTCGCAGCTAACCACCCAACCAGTGCGGCTACTTGTGCTGCTTGGACCTCAACGCTGGTTTCTGGCAATTCTCAGGTTTCTGGCTCACCCTCCTGTATTATTATCCTTTCGACAGGATCTACTATCCCAGAATGGTGTGACACACCCCAATCCCAGGATTCAGTGGGTGGCTTGGCCACTGTCAGGTATCGCCTCCAAGGGAGCGGAATTTATGTATCAGTTGCAGACACAATTCTGGCTTCGCAGAGTGATTCGACAAACATCAGTATGAGGATAGATGGGCCTGTTATGCGCGCTGGTGTGGAAACAGGGATTCTTGATCCCTTTTCTTTGACTTTCGTCGAAGTACTGGAGTTCTTACAGTCTAGATTAGAGGCCGGTTTAGCCGCATCCACTATTCGTGGCTACTCCACGGCAATCTCTGCCTTCCACATACCCACCGACGGTGTCCTCTTAGGACAACACCCTCTGGTGCAGCGCTTTTTAGCAGGCGTTGACAGAATCCGTCCGACTGTCCGGCGGATTAGTCCCCTGTGGGACTTGTCTATCGTTCCTGATTGGATGTCCGGTCCTCTCTTTTACGATCTATCGTCTCTTTCACTCCAGCTGTTAAGTTGGAAGGCAGCTTTCCTTGTGGCAGTAACGTCATGCAGGAGGGTCGGTGACATTCACACAATGTCAGCGGATCTTGAACCCACCGTCTTTCTTTCGCCTGCCAGACTCTTACCATCCTAAGATAGCAGGCTCCTTTCATGTAATGGCGCCTATTGAGCTTCCCGCTTTCCTGCAGCCTCCATTGTCCGGTACCTCTCTTAGACGTGTTAACGTCTTAGATGTCTGTAATACTTTAAAGGCTTATATCAAACGAACAGCATCTATCCGTAAGGATAAACAGCTGTTTTGCTGTTATGGCGGTGGTAAGGCTGGTCTCCCGGCAAACAAGTCGACCCTTTCTAGGTGGCTTGTCTCTGCCATTTGTATGGGATATGTTCATAAAGGCTTAACTACCCCAGAAGGTTTGAAAGCTCATTCGGTAAGGGCAGTGGCCACATCTAAGGCATATGTTGTGACCCTGCCTATTGAGGAGACCTGCTCTGTGGCTATTTGGAGCCGCCCGAGCACGTTTATGCGACGCTACCGACTTGATAAATACTCAAGAGAGCGTGCTCGGTTTGGTCAAGTGGTTCTCACCAGTGAGCAGGGTCGCGACTCTCTAGCCTATTGAGCTTTCGAGTCTCCTATTGCATTGAAGAGTACACTTGGTGAAGGGTTTTATAGTTTTATATCCCTTGGTGTTGGTGTTTAGGTGATGGTTTTTTTTAACCGACTCGCCTTCGGCAATTTATAAGGTTCCCTTTCTACTCACCATCAGTATGCATAGTTTACTGGGTTTGTAGCGGGATTAAGTGACATGTCAATTACTGCCGACACCCAAATTCATTGGTTTGGAGGCGGGTTTTTTCGATGATGCTCTCAGCCTATCAGGCTATTAAGCTTGGAAGCTGTTGTCCCTCCCCCTAGCCATGCCCCTGCCTGATTGACAGCGGCAGTCAGGTGATAGGGTAAGTGTGTTTTCTCTCTCAGTCGATTGGGAAATTCAGCTCTGCGGGGGGTCTAGTGTGAAAGACAGAATGTCACTCCCGGCTCTCAGTCTATGGGAGTCTGTCTTATGCTTATAAGTACCCCACGGAGGATCTCTCTTGAAAAAGAATTGAACATACCTGTAGATGCTTCTGATTCTTTGAAAAGAGTCCTCCTTGGGGTAGGGTCGCCCACCTCCCCTCATTCTGTCTGATTTCGTTCTGCATGAAAAGTGAGGTACGAGGTTCACGCTTAGTGTTACCTGCTCTTGGCCCAGGAGGCCTGTAGGGGTGGCTCAACAAGTCAAAAATGAGTTTTTTGTTTTGTAAATATTTTTATTGAAAAATGTAGTACAACTGGACATTTTAATGCTTATAAGTACCCCAAGGAGGACTCTTTTCAAAGAATCAGAAACCTCTACAGGTTTGTTTGAATTTCTTGGATAACATCAGATTAGATGTGATGTTTCTGTTGCTGTTGGTTTACAGTCACTGCGAGACTCGCTATTAGAGCATGCTGGGAAGATTACCCCTGATACACCTGCTGTTATTGTCACACAGGTGAGTGTGATAACTCTGTTATAACTGTGTCTGATCTGAGAAAGATGCAATTTCACTGTGTTCCCCACCTACTACAGAACTTCCATTTGCACCATACCCGTGAAGATCCGGGTTAGAATTGATCTTCAGTAACCCATGCGTGTTGTAAGAGGCGACTAACAGGATCGGGTGGTCAGGTTCGCTGACTTGGTTGACACATGTCATCGAATCCCAATTACATAGATCGATGCCCATGCTGTTGATCACTGGATTGTCTGGTCCAGACTCGATTATTTACAGACTGCCACCATATAGCTGGAAATATTGCTGAGGATGGTGTAAAAATGTAACTCACTCACTCACCCATCCATTTGCACCAAGCAAAGGGATTCTTTCTTTTTTTTAATTGTGTAAACTATGTGTTTCACAGGCTTATTAATTATGATTAAGAGTAACCAATGTTTTCATCCAAAACACCCAACCCAGACCAATATGAAGATAATATTATTGGTATTGCTTCAGGTGCTTTAGCATTTGAAAGAAAGTTTAGACAGATGTGTATGATGTCTACAGTGAAAGTCTGTCTATAGTGGTAGAAAGCACTATGTTATTAAGTTTTGTCATTTTCTCTGGGAGTTATGTTCAATTTATTTTTAAAGTATAATCTTCATTGCAATGTTTAAAGTAGTTAATGTAGTTGGTGTTTAGTTCACCAGACTGAATGAGATCAGAGTGAACTGTGGACAGATATGGTATGGAACACAACTTGTTATTGCAGCTTAGCTTGGCCTTGGCAGACCTTGCCCTGGAGATGGCAACATGGAAAGATGCTGTCTCAGATCTCATTCAGAAGTAAGTGGAGCTGTGTGTTATGCAAGGATATGTGTCAGTCATCACTAAGTTGTAGGGTACTATGTATCTATGAAGTTGTAGAGAATTCATGATGTTCATATGTTGGCTCAGTTCATTGCTCACTATATCGATTACTAGAGTGTTGATTATTTACAGGTAGCTCTTATACAACTGGAATATTGCTGAGTGAGGCATTAAAAAACAAACAACACAAACAATGTTCATATGTGTGATTGTTTCTCTACATTATTGCTGGCAGAAGAACATGAAGTTGTACTGATATGTTTTGGAAGTGATTTAGATTTTTGTATTGTATATTGATTACGTCAGATATTATTCTTAACCAGAGAATATGGTTAAAGGTCACATGCAACGTAAAACACAACTTTGCAGATTCTGATACCTTTCGGTATGGACTTACCGAAACAAATCATCAAAAATGCAAATTCAACTTATAAAGTTGAAAAATAACGCGATGAAAAAACCCGAGCGAAATTGGAGTTCAAACGATTCACTAATTTTCCCCCGACTTTTCCGGGGAAAACTGGTTTTAACAGCTGGGCTGCGCTCATATGCGTTCGCCAGTGAAATAGGTTCGCGCAACTTGGAAGCGGGCTGTCCGGTGAATACTCGGTGAAGGCTTTGGTGTGAGCTATTTTCCTAATGTTTTGTTGATATCTCACAGCGCGAGCTTTTTATATGTTATGACAGTAAATAAACTGTTTATTATATAATTTCATTTGTCTATTTCACCACACGTTCTTCTTACCGAGTCACTTTCTCAGTTCGATACTTAAAAGCAATGTCATTATTTAGCGTTGACAGAATTTTTAACTGTGATATAGATATGTCGTTGTCACAGACAAAACTCAATGTCTTGTTTTATTGACACCTGTGTGTCTGCCTGCCTGTCTGCTAATGACAATATTCAGTAAACAACTGCGATCACTGACCACATGGAATTTGAACTTAACACCAATCAGGCTATACACCATAAACAAAACGCATTGATTTATGGCCCGAGTTTGGTCTCTGTCACATTATGTAATTACACAGACAGGCAGGTGTGATACTTGAACACATGACATGTTATGATGTCTGTTGATTGCAAAATGTTGTACACAAAAAATGAGCATGTATTTACAAAACCAAACATCTGTATATATACACACACAATGAGCCGTGAGGGCATCTGCAAATGAACCAACCGTTACACTTGAGTGCACACCGACCCGCTCTGACTGGGTTCGGTATCCCGGCTGCCTCGTTTCTTGGGAAGGAAACCCAAGTACACAATATTGCACTTTTGATTTGCGATTGTACGCTTATAATTTTGTTTATATGTGTTTTCATAACCAGCAATGTATATTATATGTCATGAATAAGTGATAATTGTGTTTTAATTTTGTTTGATTTTTTGGTTGCATGTGACCTTTAAGGTACTATACTTATGCAGGGTTATCAAACATGTCAAACATATATTGGAAGGAAACACATGGTATGGTCATGTTCACTCTGTGCCAGAGATATATGTCCTTTTGAACATGTTTTAGGACTCTCACACATGCAGGTATTGAGCATATCTACTGAGCACTCAACATGTTTTAGGACTCTCACACATGCAGGTATTGAGCATATCTACTGGGCACTACATGTTTTGGGACTCTGAGCATATCTACTATTGAGCATCTCAGCATCAACATTTTAGGACTCTCACACATGCAGGTATTGAGCATATCTACTGAGCACTCAACATGTTTTAGGACTCTCACACATGCAGGTATTGAGCATATCTACTGAGCACTCAACATGTTTTAGGACTCTCACACATGCAGGTATTGAGCATATCTACTGAGCACTCAACATGTTTTAGGACTCTCACACATGCAGGTATTGAGCATATCTACTGAGCACTCAACATGTTTTAGGACTCTCACACATGCAGGTATTGAGCATATCTACTGAGCACTCAACATGATTTAGGACTCTCACACATGCAGGTATTGAGCATATCTACTGAGCACTCAACATGTTTTAGGACTCTCACACATGCAGGTATTGAGCATATCTACTGAGCACTCAACATGATTTAGGACTCTCACACATGCAGGTATTGAGCATATCTACTGAGCACTCAACATGATTTAGGACTCTCACACATGCAGGTATTGAGCATATACTGAGCATCAACATATTTAGACACTCACACATTGAGCATATCTACTGAGCACTCAACATGATTTCTCACACATGCAGGTATTGAGAGCATATCTACATGAGCACTCACACATGAGGTATTAGCATATCTCTGAGCACTCACATTTGCAGGTATTGAGCATATCTACTGAGCACTCAACATGATTTAGGACTCTCACACATGCAGGTATTGAGCATATCTACTGAGCACTCAACATGATTTTAGGACTCTCACACATGCAGGTATTGAGCATATCTACTGAGCACTCAACATGATTTAGGACTCTCACACATGCAGGTATTGAGCATATCTACTGAGCACTCAACATGATTTAGGACTCTCACACATGCAGGTATTGAGCATATCTACTGAGCACTCAACATGATTTAGGACTCTCACACATGCAGGTATTGAGCATATCTACTTAGGACTCAACATGATTTAGAACTGCATGTTATCTTCAGATTTGGCTCCAATATGCAGCAGCTGCCATTCCTGCTGGAGGTCCTTACAGTCATGCCTGAAGAGGTCAGTAGCCACACCCTGTCTGTATGATGATAGTAGCCACACCCAGTCTGTATGATGATAGTATCTCCACCCTGTCCGTATGATGATAGTATCCACACCCTGTCTGTATGATGATAGTATCCACACCCTGTCTGTATGATGATAGTATCCACACCCTGTCTGTATGATGATAGTATCCACACCCTGTCTGTATGATGATAGTATCCACACCCAGTCTGTATGATGATAGTATCCACACCCAGTCTGTACAGTGATAGTATCCACACCCAGTATCCACACCATAGTATCCAGATTTGGCTCCAATATGCAGCAGCTGCCATTCCTGCTGGAGGTTCTCACAGTCATGCCTGAATAGGTCAGTATCCTCACCCAGTCTGTATGATGATATTATCCACACCCAGTCTAAATAGTGATAGTATCCACACCCTGTCTGTATGATGATAGTATCCACACCCTGTCTGTATGATGATAGTATCCACACCCAGTCTAAATAGTGATAGTATCCACACCCTGTCTGTATGATGATAGTATCCACACCCTGTCTGTATGATGATAGTATCCACACCCAGTCTAAATGGTGATAGTATCCACACCCAGTCTGTATGATGATAGTATCCACACCCAGTCTAAATGGTGATAGTATCCACACCCTGTCTGTAGTGATGATAGTATGATGATAGTATCCACACCCTGTCTGTATGATGATAGTATCCACACCCAGTCAAAATGGTGATAGTATCCACACCCTGTCTGTATGATGATAGTATCCACACCCTGTCTAAATAGTGATAGTATCCACACCCTGTCTGTATGATGATAGTATCCACACCCACCCTGTCTGTCTGTGATGGTGATAGTATCCACACCCTGTCTGTATGATGATAGTATATCACACCCTGTCTGTATGATGATAGTATCCACATGATGATAGTATCCACACCCAGTCTGTATGTGATAGTATCCACACCCAGTCAAAATGGTGATAGTATCCACACCCTGTCTGTATGATGATAGTATCCACACCCTGTCTGTATGATGATAGTATCCACACCCTGTCTGTATGATATGTCTGTGATGAGTATCCACCCTGTCACCCTGTCTGTATGATGATAGTATCCACACCCTGTCTGTATGATGATAGTATCCACACCCTGTCTGTATGATGATGTATGTCTGTATGATATAGTATCCACACCCAGTCTGTATGATGATAGTATCCACACCCAGTCTGTATGATGATAGTATCTGATGATAGTACACCCAGTCTGTATGATGATAGTATCCACACCCTGTCTGTATGATGATAGTATCACACCCTGTCTGTATGATGATAGTATCCACACCCTGTCTGTATGATGATAGTATCCACACCCAGTCTGTATGATGATAGTATCCACACCCAGTCTGTATGATGATAGTATCCACACCCAGTCTGTATGATGATAGTATCCACACCTGTCTGTCTGTATGATGATGAGTATCCACACCCTGTCTGTATGATGATAGTATCCACACCCTGTCTGTATGATGATAGTATCCACACCCTGTCTGTATGATGATAGTATAGTACACCCAGTCTGTATGATGATAGTATCCACACCCTGTCTGTATGATGATAGTATCTACACCCTGTCTGTATGATGATAGTATCCACACCCTGTCTGTATGATGATAGTATCCACACCCAGTCTGTATGATGATAGTATCTACACCCAGTCTGTATGATGATAGTATCCACACCCTGTCTGTATGATGATAGTATCTCCACCCTGTCTGTATGATGATAGTATCCACACCCTGTCTGTATGATGTATATGATGATGATAGTATCCACACCCAGTCTGTATGATGATAGTATCCACACCCTGTCTGTATGATGATAGTATCCACACCCTGTCTGTATGATGATAGTATCTACACCCAGTCTGTATGATGATAGTATCCACACCCAGTCTGTATGATGATAGTATCCACACCCTGTCTGTATGATGATAGTATCCACACCCTGTCTGTATGATGATAGTATCCACACCACCCTGTCTGTCTGTATGATGATAGTATGATAGTACACCCAGTCTGTATGATGATAGTATCCACACCCTGTCTGTATGATGATAGTATCTCCACCCTGTCTGTATGATGATAGTATCCACACCCTGTCTGTATGATGATAGTATCTACACCCAGTCTGTATGATGATAGTATCCACACCCAGTCTGTATGATGATAAGTATCCACACCCAGTCTGTATGATGATAGTATCCACACCCTGTCTGTATGATGATAGTATCTACACCCAGTCTGTATGATGATAGTATCTACACCCAGTCTGTATGATGATAGTATCTACACCCAGTCTGTATGATGATAGTATCCACACCCTGTCTGTATGATGATAGTATCTCCACCCTGTCTGTATGATGATAGTATCCACACCCTGTCTGTATGATGATAGTATCCACACCCAGTCTGTATGATGTAGGTATCCACACCCAGTCTGTATGATGAAAGTATCCACACCCTGTCTGTATGATGATAGTATGCACACCCTGTCTGTATGATGATAGTATCCACACCCTGTCTGTATGATGATAGTATCTACACCCAGTCTGTACGATGATAGTATCCACACACTGTCTGTATGATGATAGTATCTACACCCAGTCTGTATGATGATAGTATCTACACCAAGTCTGTATGATGATAGTATCTCCACCCAGTCTGTATGATGATAGTATCCACACCCTGTCTGTATGATGATAGTATCTCCACCCTGTCCGTATGATGATAGTATCCACACCCTGTCTGTATGATGATAGTATCCACACCCAGTCTGTATGATGATAGTATCCACACCCTGTCTGTATGATGATAGTATCCACACCCTGTCTGTATGATGATAGTATCTACACCCAGTCTGTACGATGTAGGTATCCACACCCAGTCTGTACAATGATAGCATCCGAACCCATAGTGTGATGATGTACATTAGATCTATAGTAATTTATTTGTGTATACCAGTCTGTATGATGACATTAGCCAGGTCTGTATGACGACATTAGCCAGGTCTGTATGACGACATTAGCCAGGTCTTTATGACGACATTAGCCAGTGGCTCCTTTCACGAAGACACCTTTACTAAGGTTAACCTTAACTCCCATTCTTTAACATTGCACTCAGGTTACCTTAGTTACTTACGATCACCTTAGTTCTTTGTGAAAGGAGGGAGGCCCAGGTCTATGTGATGACATTAGCCAGGTCTGTACGATGACACTAGCCAGGGCTATGCGATGACATTAGCCAGGTCTGTATGATGACGTTAGCCAGGTCTGTATGATGACGTTAGCCAGGTCTGTATGATGACATTAGCCAGGGCTATACGATGACATTAGCCAGGTCTGTATGATGACATTAGCCAGGGCTATACGATGACATTAGCCAGGTCTGTATGATGACATTAGCCAGTGCTATGTGATGAAATTAGCCTGGTCTGTATGATGACATTAGCCAGGTCTGAATGATGACATTAGCCAGGTCTGTATGATGACATTAGCCAGGTCTGTATGATGACATTAGCCAGGGCTATACGATGACATTAGCCAGGTCTGTATGACATTAGCCAGGTCTGTATGACATTAGCCAGGGCTATGCGATGACATAAGTCAGGTCTGTATGATGACATTAGCCAGGGCTATGTGATGACATTAGCCAGGTCTGTATGATGACATTAGCCAGGTCTGTATGATGACATTAGCCAGGTCTGTACGATGACACTAGCCAGGGCTATATGATGACATTAGCCAGGTCTGTATGATGACATTAGCCAGGGCTATACGATAACATTAGCCAGGGCTATACGATGACACTAGCCAGGTCTGTACGATGACACTAGTCAGGGCTATGCGATGACATTAGCCAGGTCTGTATGATGACATTAGCCAGGTGTTTACCAGGTGTTTATGATGTCTTGATATAAGCCAGGCGTGTACCCGAGTAGCAAGCTGGTTGTGTATGATCAGTCTTTGCTTCCAAAAGCAGTACCATCATCAAGTCTAAAATGTGATTAATTTCTGAAGCAAGGAATAACCAGCTGCAATGCTTATATTCCAGATCAACAGCCGCTCCCTCCGCCTGGGAGCCAACAGAAGAACGGAGATCACTGAGGAGCTGGGGAAATCCTGCCCTCTAGTCATACAGCTACTGGTGAGCTCACACACCTCATCAACAGTGGATTGTGTTTCATATTAGGAACCTATATAATCTTCAGATGTGTCCTAACCGATTTCAATGATCATATCTCCCGTGTTTCATATATAACTGAGCTTAAATTTGCATATTGTTATTGCCAAATAACAGTGTGATGCCAAATTAAAAACATTTCTGAAAGATAACATACGAAAATGTACGTCCTTGTAATGATAGTCAATATCATGTTGTTGCTATGACATATTGAATTGTTATTTCGCTTATCAGAAAATTATTTTAAGCTCATAGACAGCGGAATCCATTACAACTTATGTATAAAAAGAATGATAATCACATTATATAACTCTGATTTATGTTTCGGAATTGAATTAAACATGGACAGTTTTTGAAAGGTTAATCATGTAATTGAATTTGCATTTTGAGGGAATATAAATCTATTCAGGAAATTTAGTGACAATAGTTGACCAACTCTTCCATATTTTTCCATATTATGTGCTGAAAGTTTACATCTTTAGAAAGCTGAGCATTTATGCTTACCATTGATAGTTCAAACGATATGTTTATCCTACTTGGTAAGTAGATATTGCATGTTAAATGGGATGTCATTATGCTACTCTCAACACCAGCATTGAGAGGAATAAGTGGTATGCTGTGATCATTATGATGTTGGTCATTTCTGTCAATGATGTTTTGGTATGTACAGTGATGTAAGGCATGTGAACTCGGTATTACTTGTAAGCTTTGTATGGACTTTCACCACTGCAGTTGTCCTTCTCCCCTGTGTATATTGTGTGTGTTTATGTGCAGGCTGCCTGTGTCGACAGCGTGGAGGGCAACCACCGGGTCCAGGCCAAGGTGTTCCGGGTACTTGGCAGCTGGTTCAGTGTTGGCGCCATCCCCAGTGACAGCATCCTTAACACAAAACTCCTGCAGGCTCCATTCCAGGCACTAGTGAGTTGGTAGAAGTGAGGGCTGGGGAGGGGCTCCATTCCTGGCTCTGTGGGTTGGTTAAAGTTTGGGTGGTATTGGCAGGGGCTCCATTCCTGGCTCTGTGGGTTGGTTAAAGTTGGTGAAATCAGATCTTAGCATGTGCACAGCGAGTCAAAAAAGTAATTTGAAACCAACGAATGTCATTAAATGTCATGTCAGAACTTTTTTCCAGAAACTTTGACCAAGCAATAACATGACATTAGCCAGTCAGAAAATAGCGTTCTCCAGCTATACATCACTTAAAGTTAAATACATAGACAAAATGTTATAGCAGTGCTTTTTAATGGCTATGGAAAGTCTTTTACATTTCAAATGTTTATTGGTGGGGTGGCCTAGTGGTCAAAACGTTTGCTCATCACGTCGAAGACCAGAGTTCGATTTCCCACATGGGTGTCCCCCGCCATGATATTCCTGGAATATTGCTAAATGTGGCATAAAACAACACTCACTCACTCACTCAAATGTATATCCCGTTGAACTGAGAGATAGATGATGAGTCGTACAGTCCATAGGTTTGGTATCATGTGTTAACAGTGCTGACCTATGATGATTGGAAAACACAATCTGTCACTTTCTATATCAGGTTAGCAATACTGTGATTATTTAATGAAAGGTTAATCCGAAGTGACCTAAGAATGGGATGTCATCAGAGATTTGGTTAACATTAACTAAGATCTAATTGTGCTGATGTTAATGAAGTTGTTTGCATGGACCAACACGTTTGCATACAACCCACATTGGGTCTAGTGCTGATGGTGGAAATTAATATTCCACCACATATTCAGATTATGGTCTTCCTTAAGGAATCTAATTGATTTTTTTTTTCTCTTTTTGTGTTGCTATTTCCCATATCATAGATCAAGAGGATGGTCTAATTACATTGTTCTTCATTGATGTAGTCCTGTGTTGTATGAGTGGTGTATGTTTTACAGGCAAGTCGAGAGTGTCCGTCTCACCTACATGAGGCAGCCACAGACTGTGTGTGTTCCGCTCTCTACTGTACTGAGGTGAGTTTATCGGTCGGTAGTGTTAGTGTAAAGGCCACTACAGGCACCATATGCCCACATTTGTTCTTTATAGCATCTTTTCTCAATGTAGCTTCTCGGTGTTTTCACTGACCATTTGAAAAAGGATTTCAGATCAAAATCATGACCAGGGCTCGATTTAAGAGACGTTAACCTAGTTGCACCAGGTGCAACCTGAGATAAAAACCTAGTTGCACCAGCCAAATTCCAGTAGCACTGCTTTTTTTTGCAATATGAAAAGAAAGAAATATGCTATTGAATTATTCAAAGTTTTGAAGAAAAATTAGCTGACATAGTCGTATACTGTTCATATAATGTTAGACTTATTGTTGATTTATTTCTCAAAAATTAACTTGCACCTGGTGCAAGTAAGACTAATAACTAGGTTGCACTTTGTAATATTGGGTTGCACCAGTGAATGTAACAAAGCACTAAATCGAGCCTTGATACTGCTTTCAGAGTAGCATATTTAGTGAGGTGAGGTGAGGTGAGGTGAGATGAGGTGAAATTGGGTTTAACGTCGCACTGGAGAATATTTCGCTCATATGACGACGTGCATGCGTGTGTATGTGTATGTGCGGCTACTTGTACTAGCCCAGACTTCAGCTGGTTTTATAGTGCTAGCCCACTGAGATACTATGCCGCAGTGGAGCATGAATACCCCACTCACACACATTATACTGACTCTGAGCCGACCAGTCCTTGTTGTACCCATTAATGCCGAGCGCCAGGCAGGGACCAACAAGTACCATATTTTAACGTCTTTTGGTATGACGCGGCCGGGGATCGAACCCGCGACCTTCCGCTCTCCGGGCGGACGCTCTAACCACTACACCACGGAGGCGGTCTTTGCAATATGTAATATCAGAAATATGCCATTGAATTATTTAGATGTTTTATTCAGAAGTTTACCCACTCCAAAATTGACTTGCACTGGCGCAAGTTAGACTCATAACTAGGTTGCACTTTGTAAAATGGGTTGCACCAGTGCAAGTAACAAAGCACTAAATCGAGCCCTGATGACCCTCTCCAAACGATGACTTCAGAGAAGATAAATGCCAAACATTGTTGGTACAAATTATATGCTTTCACATTATAAGTATTTTATGATATGTAGCCAACTGCAGTTTTGTCTGTCTAGATTTGTCCGTCACACACTGTTGTGACATACAGAAATACAGAACAGCTGATGATAAACAGTGAATGGATGAGTGGAACGCCCGGAATGTCAGAAAGTGATATGTGAAAATAGAGTATACTGATACGTCACAAGAGGCCCTCCCTACACCATTTAAATACTCCAGATGAAGCATTCTGTTTTAGTTGTTTTTCATGTCAAGATTAAAACTGTGAATAATCAATGATGATGATTAAGGATAAAGAATGCTAGGCCAGAATGATAAACAGTTACTTGAGTTAAATTTGATTTCAGAGTTTGTCAAAGAATCCAGCGATGGCACAGCATCTGTTTGAGGGAGTTCTCACTCTACCCACAGCTTACCATCTCTCAGTGGCGGATGAGGATTCTGACAAGTCAGTGTATACATATTATACAAAAGCTTGTAGGATGTGTGATATCTTTAGCAACATTTAAGTAATAACAAAGAAGTCCCCAAACAATGAATTGCTTTGTGGGAAACAGTAACTTGTCAGTGTGTGGATCAGATGGACACTGGTTGATCCTGCATCTAATACATGGATGATTTATTTCCCAGGTCAGTCAACTACTGCAGGATATTTACAGAAATGGCAGAGTCATTTTTAGAATCTATTGTTTCCACACCAAATCAGGTGAGAATTACAAGTCAAGGCATGACATGTTATCAGTCATGATTAGTGATTTCCCATTCTGTCAAAGACTACACAATATTTACCATTAACAGTAAATGTAAGAGAATTGTTTGTGTGAATTTCTTGGTGTATTCTGGTTTGCATATAGGTGAGCTGTTTTCTGTTTCAGGCTCTTGGGGATTTTAGAACACTGGAACTTTTGTTAACCTGTGTCGGACATCACTTGTACGAGGTAACATTGTAATTCGACATTATAATCTGGTAGTGATTTTGCAGGTTCACTGTTTAATGCAGTAGATTGTCAACTTAAAGTGTATGGTTTGATACCTGGCAAAAGTTCAGTGGGCTGACCATATTTTTGATGTCCCTAGCTACAAGTAGTTGTGATATGCTTAGAATATTGAAATGTCAAAGCATACTCACTTACTCGTGAAACCCATTTCAGGTTGGATTCAGTTGTTGATTATGTATCCGGATGATGTAATGTATTTTTGGTGACATTGTTCAACATTATTGAGCATTCTAATTCAACTTAGTATGAAACACGAGTACTGATTGGTCAATGCTATAATTTTCCGACCGTATAATCAGCATATACGGTCGCAATTTGAAAACCGATTCACCAAAACCTTTAAATGTATCCCTACACTTTTGGGGTAACGCTGCTTTGCAGGACATTGTCATTTGCAGAAGCCATAGGTCAATTAACTGCCCTATCCAGCTAAAATGGGTGGAATTTGTGTTAAAAACGACACAATAGTATCATAAATTTAATTTTAAGTTCAAACAACTTACTCAATAGCGGGCTGTTGACCCAACACTGTTAGATCATGAAACAAGATTATGGCGTCATTATGAGCGTGGCGTCACCTGCTGTGACGTCATTTGACAACAGAACTGATAATGGCCCGTAGTTAAGGAATCAGTGGGGCGCTCGTTTCTGTAACTAGAGGGCGATTTCATCATAATTCCTTCCATTTTATCTATAATACTATGATCTATTCATCATTGTCAGATTTAGTCTGTGTGCACATAATAAAAGCGTGTGTAGTTTGAAAAGGGAACTACTTTTTCTGGCGATGGTGTAAGTTCAAGGAGTGATATGATTAACCTTTGACCTAGAGGAACTTTGACCTGGTTTAAAATAATGAATTTCTTTCACGAAAAACAGCGTAAAACGAGTTGAATTAGAATGGGGATAACTGTACTGTGTTTGACGAATTGGGGCGTATATACGGTGGTTATATAGCCATAAAATTTAGCGTTATATAGCCCGATATAACTAAATTCTTGGCTATATAACCACAGGCATACGTCTCCAATTCGTCAAACACAGTACAGTTATCCCCTAAATACTGAACATTATTTATATGTCAAGAATTATGTGAAATATCTTGTCCTTGTCAGGAAAGTTATTGTAAGCTAGATGTTACCTCATGTTATACAGTAAAACCAGAAATTATTGAGAATTTAAGATTGTAATTTTTTAATATTTGTTTCACTCATTACTCACATATTTAATGTGAATATTAGCAGAACATAACTCCAGATTCAAAGACAGGTGAACAGTTAGTATGTTGTCAAGTCACCATGGGCAGCAATGCAGGCTTCAATGCGGCGGGGCATACTACTGATCAAAGAAGTTAGAAAGTCGTGGTCCATGCTGTCCCAATATCGGACCACCTCTTCTTTCATTTAAGCAATATTTGTCAGATTTTTCTTTTTGACACTTTCCTTCATAAGTCCCCAAACATTTTCTATTGGATTAAGGTCAGGCATATAGCTTGGCCAATCTAATAATGTCATGTTTTGAGTCCGAAACCAGGCCTGTGAATGCTTTGAATAGTTTGAACGATGTTTTGGGTCGTTGTCCTGCTGGAAAAACCAAAGATTTCCTCCATAGAACACTAGAGCAGATGGAAGTAATGTCCCTCGAGAATATCTGTGTACCGCCACTGTTCATATTCCCGTCAAATACACAGAGGGGTGTTGCCCCTAACACAGATATGCCACCCCACACGTTAAATTTCGGACTGTACTTTGGGCGCTGATACAAAGATTTTTCAGTTTGTTTGGTCAAGAATTTCAGTGTATTAGGAAACAGCCACCCAGAACTTTCATCTGAGAAAATCACATTGTCCCAGTTAAAATTTCTATGCTGTAAGCACCAGTTCAACCAATGTCCTTGTTATAATACTTAAAATCAACTTCCTCTTCTCTAAATCATCCATACTGAGGAGGGGCGGTGGGGTAGCCTTGTGGTTAAAGCGTTGGCTCGTCACGCCGAAGACCCGGGTTCGAATCCCCATATGGGTACAATGTGTGAAGCCCATTTCTGGTGTCCCCCGCCGTGATGTTGCTGGAATAGTGCTCAAAGCGGCGTAAAACCAAACTCAGTCAGTCAGTCAGTCAGTCCATACTGAGGATCACTGAAAATGTCGTCTGCTGGCAAGTAAACAAAGGGGGATAACTCTTCACAAACTAATGAAAAATGATTAACGGAGTTGTCTCTCTTGAATGAAACCAAGCACTTGATAGCTGGTCAAGGTTGTTTATACTAGAAATCCAATTAAACATATTCCTAAAATTCTCAATAATTTCTGGTCATACTATAGGATGTCAAGATTACCCATACTGTCACATGCTAGCTTCTAGCTTCCTGTGTTGGATCCTAGTGTCACATGTTGGGTCCTAGGGTCACATGTTGGGTCCTAGTGTCACAGGTTGGGTCCAAGTGTCACATGTTGGGTCCTAGTGTCATGCTGGGTCCTAGTGTCACATGTTGGGTCCTAGTGTCACATGTTGGGTCGTAGTGTCACATGTTAGGTCCAAGTGTCACATGTTGGGTCCTAGTGTCACATGCTGGGTCCTAGTGTCACATGTTGGGTCCAAGTGTCACATGATGGACCCTAGTGTCACATGCTGGGTCCTAATGTCATGCTGGGTCCTAGTGTCACATGTTGGGTCCTAGTGTCACATGTTGGGCCCTTGTGTCACATGTTGGGTCCTAGTGTCACATGATGGACCCTAGTGTCAATTGTTGGGTCCTAGTGTCGCATGATGGACCCTAGTGTCAATTGTTGGGTCCAAGTGTTACATGTTGGATCCTAGTGACACATGTAGGGTCCTACTGTCATGTAGGGTCCTAGTGTCACATGTTGGGTCTGGTGTCACATGTTGGGTCCCAGTCTCACGTGTTGTGTCACATGCTTCTTCTCTGTGTCACATACTTGTTCTTATCATCACATGTTGTCCTGTTGTCACATGTTTGCTCCTGGTGTCATATGCTGGGTCCTGGTATTACATGTTTGTTCCTGGTGTCACATTTTGGGTCCTAGTATGACTTGTTTGCTCCTGGTGTCATATGCTGGGTCCTAGTATGACATGTTTGCTCCTGGTGTCATATGCTGGGTCCTAGTATGACATGTTTGCTCCTGGTGTCACAGGTTGGGTCCAAGTGTCACATGTTGGGTCCAAGTGTCACATGATGGATCCTAGTGTCACATGCTGGGTCCTAGTGTCACATGTTGGGTCCTAGTGTCACATGATGGACCCTAGTGTCAATTGTTGGGTCTAAGTGTTACATGTTGGATCCTAGTGACACATGTAGGGTCCTACTGTCATGTAGGGTCCTAGTGTCACATGTTGGGTCCTGGTGTCACATGTTGGGTCCCAGTCCCGTGTTGTGTCACATGCTTCTTCTGTGTCACATACTTGTTCTTATCATCACATGTTGTCCTGTTGTCACATGTTTGCTCCTGGTGTCATATGCTGGGTCCTGGTATGACATGTTTGTTCCTGGTGTCACATTTTGGGTCCTAGTATGACTTGTTTGCTCCTGGTGTCATATGCTGGGTCCTAGTATGACATGTTTGTTCCTGGTGTCATGCTGGGTCCTAGTATGACATGTTTGCTCCTGGGTCCTACTGTCATGTAGGGTCCTAGTGTCATATGTTGGGTCCTGGTGTCACATGTTGGGTCCCAGTCCCGTGTTGTGTCACATGCTTCTTCTGTGTCACATACTTGTTCTTATCATCACATGTTGTCCTGTTGTCACATGTTTGCTCCTGGTGTCATATGCTGGGTCCTGGTATGACATGTTTGTTCCTGGTGTCACATTTTGGGTCCTAGTATGACTTGTTTGCTCCTGGTGTCATATGCTGGGTCCTAGTATGACATGTTTGTTCCTGGTGTCATGCTGGGTCCTAGTATGACATGTTTGCTCCTGGTGTCATATGCAGGGTCCTGGTATGACATGTTTGCTCCTGGTGTCACATTTTGGGTCCTAGTATGACTTGTTTTCTCCTGGTGTCATATGCTGGGTCCTAGTATGACATGTTTGCTCCTGGTGTCATATGCTGGGTCCTAGTATGACATGTTTGCTCCTGGTGTCACAGGTTGGGTCCAAGTGTCACATGTTGGGTCCAAGTGTCACATGATGGATCCTAGTGTCACATGCTGGGTCCTAGTGTCACATGTTGGGTCCTAGTGTCACATGATGGACCCTAGTGTCAATTGTTGGGTCTAAGTGTTACATGTTGGATCCTAGTGACACATGTAGGGTCCTACTGTCATGTAGGGTCCTAGTGTCACATGTTGGGTCCTGGTGTCACATGTTGGGTCCCAGTCCCGTGTTGTGTCACATGCTTCTTCTGTGTCACATACTTGTTCTTATCATCACATGTTGTCCTGTTGTCACATGTTTGCTCCTGGTGTCATATGCTGGGTCCTGGTATGACATGTTTGTTCCTGGTGTCACATTTTGGGTCCTAGTATGACATGTTTGCTCCTGGTGTCATATGCAGGGTCCTTGTATGACATGTTTGTTCCTGGTGTCACATTTTGGGTCCTAGTATGACTTGTTTGCTCCTGGTGTCATATGCAGGGTCCTAGTATGACATGTTTGTACCTGGTGTCATATGCAGGGTCGTAGTATGACATGTTTGCTCCTGATGTCATATGCTGGCTCCTGGTGTCATAAGCCTGGTCCTAGTATGACCTGTTTGTTCCTGGTCTCCCAAGCTTTGTCCTCATCTCTCTGATGGTGATTTGAACATAAGACTGAGTCCTCAAAACTGTATTGAATGCACAGCTTATAATAATCCACATATGAACATAAAAGCTGGTTTTGGTATAACCATTGCTGAATAATTGTTTTAAATACACAATGAAATGCTTGAAAGTTCCAGGCATAGACTGGTTTAATATGTTTGATGTTCCTCCAGGTTGCCGAGATCACCTTCAACTTCTGGTACCGACTGTCAGAGGAACTCTATCAGCTGAACTCAGTGGACATGAATGAAATATTCAAACCCTACATCCAGAGACTAATTGTAGCACTGTCACGCCATTGTCAGATGGAACCTGATCATGTTAGTGGATACCATTCTCATATATTACATGTGAACATAGATTACATGGTCTCTCACAGTGTGGAACTGTTTGAGACCTGGAGATTATAGTGTTATTACTCACTCATTGTGGCATCATTGTAAAATCTGTTACTGAAATTACAATTCTGATATACAAACAATTTGTTTTCTTTATTAGGAATCTGTTTTAATATGTTTTCCTTACTCATGTTATTATCAGTAATCTTAGGTTTATGTTGCACTTAATTCATGACTTTTTTAAAGTACTTTTGTATGAATATTTTCTCGACCGTTAGCATGATTATATTTGACTAACAGTTTTTATAGTCATTTTGCCAAATTCTCTTTACAGTAATTTTTTGGAATACAGTTGGCGAAACTTTGTTGCAGGAGGGGGTTCCAGACGACACAGGAGACTTTGGGGAGTTTCGTCTCCGAGTGTCAGAGCTCATCAAAGATGTAGTATTCATTGTTGGGTCTTCATCCTGCTTTTCACAGGTAACAATGACTGTGCCTTTCTCAGTTGTTTCTCACTGAGATTATCTCATTGACTAACATGTAGCTGTACATACAATCATACCTGTTTCTTTGTGTTTTCTGTAAGCAACACATGATTTTTTCTTATCCTGACTGATGATCTTTTGCTTATCTCCCTTTGCTATGCGAATGCTAGTGGAACACTTGAATCCTTTGAAGTTCCCGAAGCAGACGTAAAAATACACTCACCCACAAGTTACCTCCCTTTTCATGCGTAAACAGTCATGTGACCAGCCTTACTTGTCACTCTCTCCTGACTTTTCTGCCCATGCACTTGGATCTGCTGTGAAATCCGAATTGTTTCCAGTGGGGAGGTTGGGAGGGTTTGACCTCATGAGTCATGATAAGTATAAAATATCAATTTTACTTGAAATATTACATATTTGTGAGCTAAACATCTTTCCTCAAGGCTATTCTTGTAGAAGTTAATTAAAAACAGTTCTATAAAGGAACATTGACTGTTAAAGAGGTATGAAGTATGAGTAGAATCTGAAGCAGGCTGCAAATGTCCCTATATCCAGATGAAGTGTCTGTAAATGACGTGTTCTCCTCCACAGATGTTTGAGAACCTGAAGAACCAGGCCTCATCCTCCTGGGATCTGTCCGAGTCCTCCTTGTTCGTCATGAGTGCTGTCGCCAAGAACATTCTCCCGTATGTATACCTTTCTCCACACAGTCTCTATGGCAGTGTGAGCTTGAATAATACACATGTTTAACTTTGTATGCCGATCTGTATATAAATGTATACAGTGTTCATGCTTATGCAGCCGCACATAAGAATCAAGACGTTTTATTCATGCATTGGTACCTTGTATATAAACAAGAAATATTTCACGGTGGTAAGTTGCAATCATCTCAAATTTTCATGTCTATTTCTCTGGGAGCTTTGATTATCCTCCCCCAAAACAGATTCATGAACTTCATTGTGCACAGCGATGAAAGTAACTACTTGACATAAGTGTTTTAGTTCATCGGGCTTTACATAGTTTGCCTGTGCTCAGTATTATATTGAATTTTGAAACTGAATATCTGTTTTACAGGGATGAGAATGAGATTGTGCCTCAGGTGTTAGAGGCTGTGTTGTCACTTCCTAATACAGCCCACGTCGCTGTCCAGTATTCTAGTATTCAACTCATCGGAGAACTCTGTGAATGGATAGAGAGACACCCACAGTATCTAGGTGAGTTCATACCTAGAGACACCCGCAGTATCTAGATAAATTCATACATATAGAGACACACACAGTATCTAGGTGAGTTCATGGATAGAGAAAACCACAGTATCTAGGTGAGTTCATACATATAGAGACACACACAGTATCTAGGTGAGTTGATGCATAGAGAAACCCACAGTATCTAGATAAATTCATACATATAGAGACACACACAGTATCTAGGTGAGTTCATGCGTAGAGAAAACCACAGTATCTAGGTGAGTTCATACATATAGAGACACACACAGTATCTAGGTGAGTTCATACCTAGAGAAACCCACAGTATCTAGGTGAGTTCATGCATAGAGAAAACCTCAGTATCTAGGGTGAGTGACATGCATAGAAAACCACAAGTATCATACATATAGAGACACACACATCAGTGAGTTCTAGAGAAAACCACAGTATCTAGGTGATAGAGACACACACACAGTATCTAGAGACACCCACAGTATCTAGGTGAGTTCATGCATAGAGAAAACCACAGTATCTAGGTGAGTTCATACATATAGAGACACACACAGTATCTAGGTGAGTTCATGCATAGAGAAACCACAGTATCTAGATAAATTCATACATATAGAGACACACACAGTATCTAGGTGAGTTCATGCATAGAGAAAACCACAGTATCTAGGTGAGTTCATGCATAGAGAAACCCACAGTATCTAGATAAATTCATACATATAGAGACACACACAGTATCTAGGTGAGTTCATGCATTAGAGAAAACCACAGTATCTAGGTGAGTTCATGCATAGAGAAAACCACAGTATCTAGATAAATTCATACATATAGAGACACACACAGTATCTAGGTGAGTTCATGCATAGAGAAAAACACAGTATCTAGGTGAGTTCATACATATAGAGACACACACAGTATCTAGGTGAGTTCATACCTAGAGACACCCACAGTATCTAGGTGAGTTCATGCATAGAGACACACACAGTATCTAGGTGAGTTCATACATAGAGACACACACAGTATCTAGGTGAGTTCATGCATAGAGAAACCACAGTATCTAGATAAATTCATACATATAGAGACAGCCACAGTATCTAGGTGAGTTCATGCATAGAGAAAACCACAGTATCTAGGTGAGTTCATGCATAGAGAAACCCACAGTATCTAGATAAATTCATACATATAGAGACACACACAGTATCTAGGTGAGTTCATGCATAGAGAAAACCACAGTATCTAGGTGAGTTCATGCATAGAGAAAACCACAGTATCTAGATAAATTCATACATATAGAGACACACACAGTATCTAGGTGAGTTCATGCATAGAGAAAACCACAGTATCTAGATAAATTCATACATATAGAGACACACACAGTATCTAGGTGAGTTCATACATATAGAGACAGCCACAGTATCTAGGTGAGTTCATGCATAGAGAAAACCACAGTATCTAGATAAATTCATACATATAGAGACAGCCACTCTCTTGAGGTGAGTTCATACATGGACACTTACAGTATTGGGGTGAGCTCATACATAGACACTCACAGTATTGGGGTGAGCTGATATATAGACACTCACAGTATTGGGGTGAGCTCATACATAGACACTTACAGTATTGGGGTGAGTTTATACATAAAGAGTTACTGCATTCATGGATCTATTCTGTGAAGTACCCTACCTGTGAAGATCCGGGTTAGAATATTGATCTTCAGTAACCCACTCTTGTAAGAGGCGACTAACGGGATCGGGTGGTCAGGCTCGCTGACTTGGTTGACACATGTCATCGGTTCCCAGTTGCGCAGATCGATGCTCATGTTGTTGATCACTAGATTGTCTGGTCCAGACTTGATTATTTACAGACCGCCGCCATATCGCTGGAATATTGCTGAGTGCAGCGTAAAACTAAACTCACTCACTCACTGTGAAGTACCCAGCAATCGTGGTGGACATATTTCTTAGTTGTAATGTAGTTCAATCAGTTTAGTAGTTTGTTGCAAATATCAGCAATGCAGTAGTCACTCACTCACCCATCCACTCCCCTGGGTGATTCCTGGACATGCTGTCAGTGTTGTTACCGCCATCTTGAGACTATTACAAAGATAGTTTCTTATGCACTTGGCATGCAACCACTTGGTGGTTATGCTTACCATATAATTGTGCTACATTTTCCCTTTCGTTTCCTCTTATCTTTGGATTACTTCTTTGGTCCAGCTATTTCCTCCATGTGAAAGATTACCCTTCTGAAACGTTCCATGCCAGATGTATAAAATGTTCATTTAGTAAGATTTGTAGAATACTGTTACTGTACATGAAAGATAACCGTTATCATCCTTATCTCTTTGTATGTTGTATGAAAAACATACACACTCATTCACAAGTATACCAACAGTTCAGTAAGTGAGTTTGGCATTTTCCGTTTTGAATGGTAATGATAAAATAGGAATGTAGTGTTAGATCAACCTGAAGTAATCCAAGCAAACACTGACACGCCGATGACCCGGGTTTGATTCCCCATATGGGTACAATGTGTGAAGCCCATTTCTGGTGTTCACCCGCCGTGATATTGCTGGAATATTGCTAAAATCGGCGTATTTTTAAACTCACTCACTCACCCAAACAAACACTGCCATATTGATGAAAAGTGTTCTCATGGTTGTGACTGAAGGTGTACATACAAGTCCATGGAATCTGTTCTAGAGGGGATGCTAATGTGTGTTTGTATTTGCAGACCCAGTATTACAGTACCTCCTGGCTGGCCTCCAGCAACCCCTTCTCGCATCCATATCTGCCAACAGTCTACAGAGCATCTCTACACAGTGTCGAGACCACATGATCGAACACTTCTCTGGCCTCATACAGATTGTGCAGGCCATGGGAACCTTCAATCTCTCAAATGATGCTGCAATAGGACTACTTAAAGGTAGGAGTCTGATTTTTTTAGATATAAGAGATTGATGAAAGATGGATATTCCTAGAGCCTGTCTTAAATTATAGTCAGTTCTTGTGATTGAAAGCTTGAGTGCTCTGAATGTAAAATGAAGTTGTTCTTAAAAAACAATGAGGATGAGATGTCATCCAGTATGATTTTAACACTGTGTATTGGTTTTATGTAACAGTAGTAATAGTAAGAGTAATACTCCGCTTATATGGCGCTCATATCCAGGCACATTGCCTGCTCACGACGCTACGTACATTACTATCCCCAGTCATAGGACACTATCATACTTTCCGATACTCTTTCAACACCCTGGGGATCATACAGCCATGCTGCCTGTTAAGCGCAATGAACTAGACACTCACATGGCCAGCACATCCTCACAGGTACCTAATTTTTCCTTATCCTGACTCATGCTCTTTTGCTTGTCTTCTTCTTCTTGCGAACTTAGTGGAAACACTTGTATCTCCCTAATTGAAGCTCCCTTCAATGTAAAATCACTAATTAGTACTCACCACGAGTTACCCCCTTTCCACAAGCGCGGGAAACGAGGGCGCCACCTTCACCCATGTACCTCACTCTCTCCTTCTTCGCCCAGTGAGCTGGACGTGAGAGCGTTTGTGTCTCCCGACACTATATCCTTTGATTTATATTTAGTTAGTTACCTCGTATAGACATCTATAGAGGTTTAGCTAGTATCCTTCAACGATTATATATTGATATTTAGTCGCGTTTTCTACAGTTTATTCACGGGACGCCGTGTTTGTTTCAGTGGATTACGTTGCTGAAAATTTTTGTACTATTGCAGATTACGGTTTTTATTCTGCTGCTGATCCGCTTTTAATATGCCTTAGTTGTACTGCGCCATGTTCATTTTATTCACATTGCAGTTGCGGTACTAATTTATCCAATTCTACCTTTTATTAATATTTACTTTGCGTTTGAGACGCGCAGCAGATAGGTCGCGTATGCAGAGTCTAGTATGACTGATACACCTGAACCCCTCGCCAGTCTACTGCTGTTGGCCGACCCCCCTCCCGTGTGGTGTTCCGCTAGAGTGGTGGAGAGGCTAGGGACGTAGTCGCAGCCGTAGACTAGAGGTTTTCTACTACATCTCTACAGCCGGATTTGGGCCTGTATGATGATCAGCCGATCATACATCATACATAGCCGATGTACATCAAAAGAATGACCGATGTCGGCAACAGTGATGTCAGCGCAGATCAGCATGCAGCCTGATGTGGACTCGGACCATCAGACATCACGGAAGCCTTCGCGAAGGTCATATCGTCGTCCCCCCGGACCGGACGCAGAGGAAGCTTCGCGAAGGCATTCGCGAAGGACACCTGAATCCAGATCATCATCATCTAGAAGGACATCGAGGGACTACACAAGAGCTTCGTGAAGCTATCAAGCGTTGACATCTGAGGGGAAATCAACGAAGTCTACTAGGACTTTCTCAACCGAGATTGTTCCAGCCGCAGACCTGGACGTCTACGATGATCAGCCGATCATCATCCCCGACATAAGAAGCGACCGGTGACAGCTACAATGACATCAGCAGAGATCTCCATGCAGCCTGATGCCTCTACACTGATGTCGGATGATATTCCTGTGGACCCCTCCATTAACACCGCAGAAAGGCACCGGCTTCGCGAAGTCTCCAGAGTTCACCGAGGAAGTCTCCTCCAAGGTCTCCATATACTAGCCACTCGTCATATATAGCTACTCGTCAGTCCGTTCAAGACATCGCATAAGTTGTCTATCAACTGTATGCCAGATGCCATCTATAAGCCTACGCGAAGACAATTGCACAGGCTATTTACAACACAGAACGTCGCTGTATTAATTAGTCAACGACGTTTCATAGATCTTCACAGAAATCAACTGTTCCGTATAGATGGCTAGAATATGTAATCCCGGACGACGATACGATTATCTACATGCGTGACCATTACGCATATCTGCAGACAATTCAATATTGAAATTGAACAGCAGCCTTGTTACAGCGAAAGTATAACTCATAATCGCCAACTTTTCTGAGAAGAAATATGTACAACAAGTTCAGCTTTAATTCTACAATTAGGACGATACATTCATGTATACAGTCTACAAGCTGACAACTTGCAAGGTTATTGTACCTTTATATAAGGAAGTCAGAATTAGATTCAAACTGAAGTTACTTTCACGACAGCCAGGAAAATAACCTACCCAGCATTAATATTACAGAGCGAGGTATTTCATACCAAGGTTTCGCTGCGTTTACCATTAACCCAAAAACACGTGGTCACTCGGGTAACTTCGAAGCTACGTGAAGACCGACGATTATGCTAATATCAACGACGGCAAGATTTTATACAAGGTTTTTCCTGCTACACCGGTGACATCACAGCTGGTATTCTACAGAATCAAAATGCCTTGTTCTGATTGGACCATGATGGACAACGCACTCCACGCAGAGGTCGATCTTAATTCACAGTTCAAGACTTACGCCACAAGTGACAACTATATATCAGTGAACGAAAGCAAGCCTCCTTACAGTCCAGTTAACCTGAACCTTCATGATTGGGCTGCTTTCTTCAGGTTAGAGGCCTCCCCTGTCAAGTTAGGGACGAGCACGGCAGTCAGGCTTAATTTACATAAAGTTCAACGAGGACAGACACACCTGGTTGTGCACCTACATCGTCAAGAACCTCGCGAGCTTAATTACCTAGACGACGGGATACAAGTTGATCTAAACCCACAGCGCCTCAGACTACAGTTGAATTTAATCATCAAGCTACTAACACAACTGGATGGTTAGTAAACCTACTTAAGCTTCTGATTGGAGAATTAAAACGGAAATTCACGCTCCAACTTGGGGATCTGAATATAGTACTCCAACACCTCACAAGTGAGGTTTATGAACACGCCTGGATAACATACTTGGGCTCCATGATACGATGATTCTATCACGATGGCCAGCAAGAGCACTGTAAATTTATCTCCACCGAACCAAACAGGAAGGGAAAATGCAACAGATTATTTCCTCTATCTTCAACTTAGGCAGAATGAAGTCTCACGTACTATATCTCCGAAGGGTCAGAACTGTCATACTATGTGCATACAAGACGGATGGACCAAATCCGACCCTCCATGAGCTTAATACTCATGATATTAGATGGTTAACTTTTACAATTGATTTACACAAATGTTTTTTGGAATAATGGAGGGTTTATTTCTGGAGATCCGATATGGTGGTTGCCAACCATTATCTGAGAGATATCACCACCGAGGACGTCTCAGGTATCCACCAATTCGATCCCATGGTCCTCGCACAACAATTGACAGTTCCTCGGAGAAGATAAGTCAATCTTACTGATTTCTACTTATCTTATAACAGTACTAAATAGCTACATGCTATATATAATTTGTTTAAGTTCCTTTTATCATCACAGTACTATGATTATTACATCATACAATATATAAGTTAACAACTCTACAGAGTTTATTACATATTTACCTTAAGTTAATCATATCTTAAGAGTAGTACTATGGTAACATGATAATGCATTAGCTAACAAACTCTACAGAGTTTTTGGCTATTATATACGTAGCTTAAGTTATTTATATCTTAAGCATAGTACTATACTCATATTATAAAAATATATTAGCTATCAAACTCTACGGAGTTTTGCTATTATATAGGTAGCTTAAACTTATTCATATCTTAAGCTTAGTAATACGTTTATATCATATAAGTATATTAGCTAACAAACTCTAAAGAGTTTTTTACTATTTGGCTTAAGTGTCATCATATTCTAAGCAATATGGTTATATTATGACATGTATTAGCTAACAAACTCTACAGAGTTTTTGCTATTATATATGTAACTTAAGCTTATTCATATCTTAAGCGCAGTACTATGTTATATCATATAGGTATATTAGCTATCAAAACTCTAAAAGAGGTTTTTGCTATTATATATTTGGCTTAAGTTTCATCATATTTTAAGCTTTATGGTTACATTATAACATGTATTAGCTAACAAACTCTACAGAGTTTTTGCTATTATATATGTAACTTAAGCTTATTCATATCTTAAGCGCAGTACTATGTTTATATCATATAGGTATATTAGCTATCAAAACTCTAAAAGAGGTTTTTGCTATTATATATTTGGCTTAAGTTTCATCATATTTTAAGCTTTATGGTTACATTATAACATGTATTAGCTAACAAACTCTACGGAGTTTTTTGCCATTATATATGTAGCTTAAGTTTTCCTTCATAAGCTCAATACTAGGTTTATATCATATAAGTATTTTAGCTAACAAACTCTAAAGAGTTTTTTTTGCTATTATACAATTAGCTTAAGTTTCATCATATCTTAAGCAGTATGGTTACATTATAAAATGTATTACCTAACAAAACTCGACGGAGTTTTGCTATTATATATATAGCTTAAGTTTAATCATATCTTAAGCTCAGTACTATGTTTATAACATAAAAGTATATTAGTTAATAAACTCTAAGGAGTTTTTTACTATATACATTTAGCTTAAGTCTAAATTTATCTTAAGCTTAGTACTATAGTTACATTATAAATCTATTAGCTAATAAACTCTACAGAGTTTTTGGCTATTGTATATGTAGCTTAAGTTAATTATATCTTAAGCACAGTACTATACTCATATTGTAAAATATATATTAGCTAACAAACTCTACAGAGTTTTGCTATTATATATGTAGCTTAAGTTAATTATAATTTAAGCACAGTACTATACTCATATTGTAAAAATATATTAGCTAACAAACTCTACAGAGTTTTGCTATTATATATGTAGCTTAAGTTAATTATATTTTAAGCACAGTACTATACTCATATTGTAAAAATATATTAGCTAACAAACTCTACAGAGTTTTGCTATTATATATGTAGCTTAAGTTAATTATATCTTAAGTACAGTACTATACTCATATTGTAAAAATATATTAGCTAACAAACTCTACAGAGTTTTGCTATTATATATGTAGCTTAAGTTAATTATATCTTAAGCACAGTATTATACTCATATTATAAAAATATATGAGCTAACAAACTCTACAGAGTTTTGCTATTATATATGTAGCCAAAGCTTATTCATATCTTAAGCTCAGCATTATATCTATATCATATAAGTATATTAACTAACAAACTCTAAAGAGTTTTGCTATTATATAATTAGCTTAAGTTTAATCATATCTTAAGCTTAGTACTATGTTTATATCTTAAAGTATTTTAGCTAACAAACTCTAAGGAGTTTATACTAGCATATTAACAAATTTAAGTCTATCAGTCTTAAGCATTGTATTAATGTTATATATACTTTATCATAATAAGTACATTGTAATAACCTTTATATGGCAGCTGATAAGTTAGCAGCAGGAATTCATCAGTTCAGTGCCTTCATGAAGTTCCCATAGGGTTATTACAATCATCACAGATCAAATCACTAATTATTAAAATCCAAAGTATTCTATTACTCCCACCTCTGTTCCAGAGGATTCTACAAGCAAAGAGCATGAGTCAGGATAAGGAAAAATATGTAATTTTTAGAGTAAAATTGATATTTTATACTTATCCTGACTCATGAGGTCAGCCCTCCCATCCTCCCCACATAACACTTTGGATTTCCCTGTAAATTCAAATGTTGGGCTCAGTATATGAGGAGAGAGTGAGGCACATGGGTGAAGGTGGCGCCCTCGTTTCCCGCGCTTGTGGAAAGGGGGTAACTTATGGTGAGTACTAATTAGTGATTTTACATTGAAGGGAGCTTCAATTAGGGAGATACAAGTGTTCCACTATGTTCGCAAGAAGAAGAAGACAAGCAAAAGAGCATGAGTCAGGATAAGTATAAAATATCAATTTTACTCTAAAAATTACATTTTTGCCTTGCCAGACATGTGGTAATGGTGATAATTGTTTCCAGGTACAGCCACAATTCTGGGCCGTCTTCCTCACGGTAAAGTCACAGAGGGCCTTCAACAGTTGTGCTCCATACAGTTATCTCCCCTGAACAAAGTAAGCCATTTGTCTCAACTTGAACATAGTGTTAGATGCCTCTTTTATGCACAACCAATTGTTGTTAGTCATATGAATTAGTCAGCTGTGTTTTGCATAATATTGTCAAAGTTTATTTTCACATTTCTGGTTTTAGTTTTGATGAATGTTTGCATATTGATTTTACTGTTTTTCCTCAGTTAATATCAGAAGAAAGTGGGCCAGTGAAACATGGGTCCATCAACGACCCCACACTATGGCTAGACAGACTAGCAGCAGTCTTTAGGTGGGTGAAATTGAGACGCAGCTCATTTAATCCTGCCCAATGAGACACTCTATTAATAAGAAGCTCATATTTGGTATTTGTTTTGAAAATGAATCTTGTCTACTAATTTTTGATGTAATGTGTAAAGAATCACTATTCAGTTGTTTGTTTAATTGAGTGAAGTTTACTAAACATGTTTCAGTTCAGTGTTAGTCATTCCCAGGGAACTGAGCAACACAAGTGTAGTGTGTTCATGTTGGTATCACTTTCTGACTGATGAGTTTTCATGAAGATGCCTTTTCCTCTTCCAGGTTTACAAACCCCAGTGTGTCCAACGGGCAGGTGCATCCGTGTCAACCAGTCATACAGGAGGTGAGAGACTCGCTTATAGCAGAGAAACATGCAGGAACTTCATGGAGAAACTGTTCTCTGTTCACGAAAACAATCTGCTCCTTACTGTCTTTTTGTAATTTTGGTGGTTGCACAGGTCATTGTACCTATTGAGGTGGGAAGTCACCAATAATATTGATCACTGGGTCTCTTGTCCAGACTCAATTCAAATACCATACAGCTGGAATATCTGTGGGTGCTTTGTTATACATTAGACAGGTGGACTCTTTAAGCTGAGATTCACCAGTGATTCAGTGACTAGTAACCAGCAAACTATGAGGGGAAGGAAGACCCAGTGGTATGAAGTTGCTCTGCACAGTCATGGCCATTATCTGCTAGGTTTGAGGGTTGTCCACACAAGACCCATGCCTGTCAGTTACCATCAATGTGATGACTGACATTTCAACTGATATTTAAACAAGACAGAATCCCCTAGGAGTATGTCACCATGTTTGTCAGTTACCATCAATGTGATGACTGACATTAACCTGATATCTAAACAAGCCGAAATCCCCGCTGAGTATGTCACCATGTTTGTCATTGTGTTGCAGGTGTGGCCAGTATTATCTAACGCATGTAACAAGTACCAAGCAGATGTGAGGATCATTGAGAGGTGTTGTCGCTGTATTAGGTTTGCAATCCGATGCCTCGGGAAGAACTCCGCTACATTGTTAACACCCTTAGTCACACAGGTAAGAGGTCAACAGCACACTCACTCATCGACCCTGGCACGCTGTCACCACAACTACAAGTCTTCCAGACTCGTGAAGATCCGGGATAGATTTATCTTCAGTAACCCATGCTTGTCGTAAAAGGCAACTAACAGGATCAGGTGGTTAGGATCGCTGACTTGGTTTACACATGTCATCGTATCCTAATTGTGTAGATTGGCGTTCATGCTGTTGATCACTAGAATGTCTAGTTGGGACTCGATTATGTACAGACTGCCGCCATACAGTTGGAATATTGCTGAGTGCGGCATAAAACTAAACTCACTCATAGGCCTTCCACAGGTGCTGTGAAGACAATGCATCACAATGAGATTGACAGCCAACAGTTCATTGTGATAAAACAGGATTAAAAATTCAGTGTTTTACGAATTAATATGTAAAATGTATTTGAAATGAGGCCTTTACTGTAGATAATGGTTTGTTGTCAGATGGTGAGTCTCTACCAGGTCCATCAGCATTCATGTTTCCTGTACCTAGGCAGTATTCTGGTAGACGAGTATGGTACAGAACAAGGCTGTATACCAGGGCTTCTGGACATGCTGCAGGTGAGGAACTTCAGATGGCAGGTGGTGATGAAGGAGGTAGTTAGGATTATGATATATATGAACAAGGGATCAGTGGTGATGAAAATGCGGCGATGGTGATGATAAAGGTAAAAATGATGATGGAAGGAAGGACTGGTGACAATGAAGGCAATGATGTTGGTGATGATGAAGGTGGTGATGATGGAAGGGATGGTGGTGATGATAGAGGGAAAGTGATGATGAAAGCAATGATTATGGTGACAGTGAAGGAGATGGTGATGATGAAGGTTGTGTGATGATGGCGGGGATGGTGACAAAGGTAAAGAAGATTGGGACAATGAAGTGGATGGTGATGATGAAGGTGGATGTGATGGAGGTAGGGGGATGGTGATGATGAAGGTGGGTGTGATGGAGGTAGGAGGGATGTAGTAAGGGATGGTGATGATGAAGTTGGGTGTGATGGAGGTAGGGGGGATGTAGTAAGGGATGGTGATGAAGGTGGGTGTGATGGAGGTAGGGGATGTAGTAAGGGATGGGTGATGATGAAGTTGGGTGTGATGGAGGTAGAGGGGATGTAGTAAGGGATGGTGATGAAGGTGGGTGTGATGGAGGTAGGGGGGATGTAGTAAGGGATGGTGATGATGAAGTTGGGTGTGATGGAGGTAGAGGGGGATGTAGTAAGGGATGATGATGAAGTTGGGTGTGATGGAGGTAGGGGATGTAGTAAGATAGATGATGAAGGTGGGTGTGATGGAGGTAGGGGGATGTAGTAAAAATGGGATGGAAGTTGGGTGATGATGGAGGTAGGGGGATGTAGGGATGTAGTGATGAAGTGATGGAGGTAGGGGATGTAGTAAGGGATGGTGATGATGAAGGTGGGTGTGATGGAGGTAGAGGGATGTAGTAAGGGATGGTGATGATGAAGTTGGGTGTGATGGAGGTAGGGGGGATGTAGTAAGGGATGGTGATGATGAAGTTGGGTGTGATGGAGGTAGAGGGGATGTAGTAAGGGATGATGAAAGGTGGGTGTGATGGTAGGGGATGTAGTGGATAATGATGATGAAAGGTGGATGTGATGGAGGTAGGAGGGATGTAGTAAGGGATGGTGATGATGAAGTTGGGTGTGATGGAGGATGGGGGATGTGATGTGATGAAGATGGTGTGATGGAGGTAGGGGGATGTAGTAGGGATGTGATGGTGGGTTGGATGGAAAGTAGGGGGATGTAGTAGGGATGGTGATGATGAAGTGGAGTGGGTGTGATGGAGGTAGGGGGGATGTAGTAAGGGATGGTGATGAAGGTGGGTGTGATGGAGGTAGGGGAGATGTAGTAAAAAAGGATAATGATGATGAAGGTGGGTGTGATGGAGGAGGGGATGTAGTAAAGGATAATGATGATGAAGGTGGGTGTGATGGAGGTAGGGGATGTAGTAAAGGGATGGTGATGAAGGTGGGTGTGATGGAGGTAGGGGGGATGTAGTAAAAAGGATAATGATGATGAAGGTGGGTGTGATGGAGGTAGGGATGTAGTGGATAATAGTGATGAAGGTGGGTGTGATGGAGGTAGGGGATGTAAAGAAAGGGAGGATGGTAGGGGGGGATGTAGTAAAAGGATAATGATGATGAAGGTGGGTGTGATGGAGGTAGGGGGGATGTAGTAAGGGATGGTGATGAAGGTGGGTGTGATGGAGGTAGGGGGATGTAGTAAGGATAATGATGATGAAGGTGGGTGTGTGATGGAGGTAGGGGGATGTAGTAAGGATAATGATGATGAAGGTGGGTGTGATGGAGGTAGGGGGATGTAGTAAGGAATGGTGATGAAGGTGGGTGTGATGAGGTAGGGGGATGTAGTAAAGGATAATGATGATGAAGGTGGGTGTGATGGAGGTAGGGGGGATGTAGTAAAGGATAATGATGATGAAGGTGGGTGTGATGGAGGTAGGGGGATGTAGCCAAGGAATGGTGATGAAGGTGGGTGTGATGGAGGTAGGGGGATGTAGTAAAGGATAATGATGATGAAGGTGGGTGTGATGGAGGTAGGGGGGATGTAGTAAGGAATGGTGATGAAGGTGGAGGTGATGGAGGTAGGGGGATGTAGGAAGGATAATGATGATGAAGGTGGGTGTGATGGAGGTAGGGGGATGCAGTAAGGATAATGATGATGAAGGTGGGATGTAGTAAGGAATGGTGATGAAGTAGTGTGATGGAGGTAGGGGGATGTAGTAAAAAGGATAATGATGATGAAGGTGGGTGTGATGGAGGTAGGGGGATGTAGTAAAGGATAATGATGATGAAGGTGGGTGTGATGGAGGTAGGGGGGATGTAGTAAAGGATAATGATGATGAAGGTGGGTGTGATGGAGGTAGGGGGGATGTAGTAAAGGATAATGATGATGAAGGTGGGTGTGATGGAGGTAGGGGGGATGTAGTAAGGAATGGTGATGATGAAGGCATTGATTATGGTGATGATGAAGTCAGTGGTGATGTTGATGATGAATGAAGGTGGTAGATATGACTAGTACCGAGGATGAAGGTGTAAATCTGTCAATGTATTGAATGTTTGTTATCTGCTTCCAGGCTTTTTGCGGACCAACATTTAAAATTCTAGAAGAACATAATGGTCTTCGCAACCACCCTGATACAGTAGACGACTTATTCCGATTATGTCTTAGGTGAGTCATTAATTATGAGCTTGAATTTTACCATAATGTTCAATCATTAGGGAATATGTACATTGGACATTTAAGAAGTGTTTCCACACTAGAAAATGTGTTCAGATTAATCATGTTGATAGTTCTGTGATGCGAAACCAAAAACATTGATTCCTTCATTCTCTGATACTTTGATAATTTACACGTGGTAGAGTGTATCCTTTCATTGCCAGGTTCATCCAGCGATCACCAGCATCCTTCCTACAGAGTCAGATGGCCAAGCCTCTCCTGTGTTGTGCAATAGCTGCGTGCTCCCTTGATCACAAAGACGCCAATGCGTCAGTCATGAAGTTCCTAACAGACTTCATCAAGTGTGCAAGAGAAAAAGAAGTAAGCTGTTCCTCAATTGAAAGTCCCAAGGGTTTCACTTCAGTTTAGTGGGGAGGATAGAGCATTAACCTTGTATTTGTCTTGAGAGGAATCTATAATGAGGATACATGCTGCTTACTTGTTTTGATGATATTGAGTACCCAGGAGGAGACTGAAGGTTTCTATATGCTTAGACATGCTGACATGGGATCTGTATTTGCCACTCTAATGGAAGTGACGTTTTCTGCTTCATTTCAGTTTAAGCTCAATATTAGTGCACATCACAACAGTTCTGTATTATGCCTTCTGAACTATGTAAATATAAATCGTGGTATCCAAATCAGGCTCCATCCCTTTACTTACTTGTATTGCTTGTTGTTAGACGCAACATTTTTGTATGTAGCATATTTTTCCTTATCCTGACTCATGCTCTTTTGCTTGTCTTCTTCTTCTTGCGAACATAGTGGAACACTTGTATCTCCTTAATTGAAGCTCCCTTCAATGTAAAATCACTAATTGGTACTCACCAAGAGTTGCCTCCCTTGCCCTTTTGGCGGGAACAGGTGTCGCCACCCTCTGGCCTCATGCTTCACTCTCTCCTTCTTCGCCCAGTGAGCAGGATGTGAGAGCGCCTGTGTCTCCTTACACACTATATCCTTTGGTTTTTCTTAGTTTATTACCTCTTATAGGTTACTATAGACAGTAGAACCATGATGGAGGGCCACTACAGTCGAGGAAAGCAGCCAGCCCAGGGCCCGAGCAACGCAGACAACACCCCAGAGGCACCCACAGTCAGCGTAGCAGCCACGGCGAAGCAGCCTTCGAGAAGGAAGTCACAGACCACCTCGACGAAGGACGCAGATGTACAGTCTTCGCGAAGGCCTTTGCGAAGACGGGAGAGATCGTCACCGTCCTCGGCCTCATCCTCAGATGCAGACTCAGACCACCAGACGTCACGGAAACCGTCACGGAAGTCAAGGCGCCGCTCCCCAGGTCCGGACGCAGAGGAAGCTGCACGAAGGCCGTCACACAGATCGTCATCGCCCAGAAGGACGCCGAGGGACTATTCAAGAGCTTCACGAAGCCGTCAACATTCTCCTCGCAGATCCCATAGAAGCAGATCACCTAGACAATCTCCACGCCGTTCACCTGCGCCCGATCTCCACATTACATCACCCGCAGGTCACCACATAAGTCAGCACGCGCAGGTCTACAGTCAGGTCTCCCCGAGTGTCACCCGACATAGAGATAGCAGCCCACAGGTCACCATCAGAAGAGCATCAACCTCTCATCTCCGATGCTGGTACAGAAGATGATGGAGGCATCATCTTCTCAGACGCTGAGATAAGATATTGGATGGTAAACAACCTAGATTTATCTTCACCGTCCAAGAGTGGCAACTCAGCGCAGACATACCTGATGAAGGAAGACGATGCAGATGCCATCACCTTACCTCCGATCGACCCGATTGCTGCGGTGCCACATAATCTAGATACAGCCTTCATTAAAGCTACGAAAGTGCAGACACCACATCTGCCAAACTTTCACGCTAAGAAGTTCTCCACGCACAACATGGACCCCTTCCTGAAGGCACAAGACATCGATGACAACTACAAACTGATCAGCTTATGTTAAGAACAAGAACTACAAGATTGACGATGCGCAAGCTGGTGCAGATAGAAAACATGACGAGACGCATGTTTTTGGCCTAAATAGATCTAGAACGATCAATGAGACACTTATCACCAATTTTCGTATCGACCTCTGAAGATGATAGGATGATCTACTCGGCCCTACTGATGCAAAAGAAGGACCAGCAGTTCCTTACAGATCATCTCACATCTGTCTCAGCAGCACTGACCTTAGCTCGTCGTCGTCAAGGCCTCCTCGCTTCCTGCAGCTGGGGTGAGAACTTTACAGCTCCACTCTATACAGCCCCGTGGTCATCCCCAAACATCTTTGACGGAGGAATAGACAAAGTCTCCAAGGAAGTCACTAAGGACTCCAGAGAAGTCCTTATGATCAAGTCGATGGACACGCTAGCCAGCGTCATCAGGCAGACTTCACAAAGATACTCAGGGAGATCTAAGTTCTCGGGACTACAGAAAGCACGGGATAGGAAGATAGCCAGCGCCAGGGGAAAAGATTCTTTTCGTCGCCCATATGGCAACTATAGAGGAGGGTCAGGAAACTATAAACGCTGAAAGACAGGTTCGGAACGACTGGAGTCTTCCACCCCCAGCCGTTCCAGTACAACCGTCACAAGTGGGTGGACGCCTCCAACTACACTGGGAGAACTGGGGAATGTTACAAGACCCTTATGTCTCCAACATTCTTCAACACGGATTTCGTATCCCACTACAGGCCACGCCTCCGCTGACAGTCAACCCTTACAAGTTCGACTTACAGGCACAACAACTACCAAAGTTAAGAGAGGCGGTTACATCACTCCTAACCAAGCAGGCCATAGAAGTACTAGATCAAGTAAACATCGAACCAGGCTTCTATTCCCCAGTTTTCCTAGTACCCAAGAAAAACTCCAAGGAGAAATACAGACTCATTTACAACATGAGCTTTTTCAACAGGAATTATCTACGCCAAACCACCAAAGTTTCGCATGATACACCTTCCTCAGTTACGGCAGTTGATTAAGCCCCATGGATTACATGGCCAGTATAGATCTGCAAGGCGATATCTACATATCCCGATACGCCCGAATCCAGGAAATATCTAAGATTTACACTAGACGGGCTACATTACCAATGGAAAGTACTCCCATTCGGCATATCATCAGCCCCTGGCTATTCACGAGGATAACGAAACCTATTGTCACCTATCTACATCGTCTAGGGCTACGCGAGTCGTTCTACCTCGACGACGGGATACAAGTAGATCAAGATCCACAGCGTCTCAAACTACAGTTAAACTACATCATAAAGCTACTAACACAGCTAGGATGGTTAGTAAACTTACTCAAGTCGGACCTAGTACCATCGCGAAGATCTGCAGTTCCTAGGCATTCGATTTATCACGAATCACAACCGTATCGTCGTATTCAGAAGACCGTTGGCTCAAGATCCAACAGACCATTCCGCCAGCTCTACTCTCTCCGTTACCACTACGACAATGGCAGAGCTTGTTGGGTCTCCTCACATCAGCCCAAGACATGACAGTCTCAGGCAGATTACAGTTACGCCCAATACAGGTCTTCATCAATGCACATCTCGACGACCTACAACCATTCAGTCTACCGAAACGTCTCAGACCTCATCTACTATGGTGGACCAGGAGGTCGAATGTTTGCGAAGGTATTTGTTTAGAAGAGCAGGAATTCAAAACCCATCTATATGTAGACGCGTCGCTCCAAGGTTGGGGAGCTCATCTTGCCAACCGGACGGCATCAGGGTTATGGAATCAGCAAGAAAGCAAGCTCCATTTAAACATGTTAGAGATGAAAGCTGTAATCAACGCCATACTTCATTGGAGCACCATTCTACAGAATGAGCACTTAATGATTCATACCGACAACTCGACAGTGGCGTTCTATGTGAACAAACTAGGTTCAACGAGATCACTGAACCTATTGACTTTAAGCTTTCAACTGTTCGATCTAATACACGATCTAAACCTACATGTCAGAGCATGTCACATTCCCGGAGCCAAGAATGTACTAGCAGACGCGACTCTCTCGCCACATCAACCGTCACCGACAGAATGGATGCTCAATACAGAAATATTTGCACAGATAATCAAGCAAATAGGAGCCGCAGCTAGTAGATCTATTCGCAACACGCTTCAACAATCAGCTACCGACATTCGTGTCACCAGTCCCAGACCCACAAGCATGGGCAACGGACGCTCTAAGCATATCCTGGGAAGGCCTCAATGCGTCGCGCGTTTCGCCGCCAGCAATAATACCTCAAGTGTTACAGAAAATCAGACAAACACAGAGCCTCCAACTCACTTTGGTCACGCCCTACTGGTCGGCCAGAGCGAACGGTTTCCCATTCTAATTCAAGAAATCGGTCAACCAACACAAGAGCTACCCAAGCTCAAATCTATTAATACATCCACACACCAAACAGGTGCACGGAAGCCCAGAAGTATTCCAACTTCACGTATGGACTGTATTAAAATGTGTTTAAACAAGAGAGGGTATTCTACCAGGGCGGCAAAAGCGGTCCACGCTTGCCTTACGCTTAATTCTACACGTAACTAACTAATACGGCGACAAGTGGCACAGTTTTGAGAATTACGCAGCAAATAAGGGATTTACAGCAAGAGATGCTACTCATCCACAAGTGGCAGATTATTTATGTTACTTACGGCAAAATAAACATTTAAAAGGCTCGACATTGTCAACATATCTTGCCGCGCTTAGTTCTGTGATTACCGTGAGAACGGGTGTCAAATTGACAAAAACTCCAGAGTTACTGGCCTTACTACGTGCTTTTCGATTGGAGGACCAAAAGCGGAAGTTCCACGCCCCAGCTTGGGATCTGAATATAGTGTCACAACACCTCACAAGTGAGGCTTATGAACCGTTGGAATCGACAAACTTTGAATTTCTCTCACAGAAAACGCTTTTCCTGTTATCTCTAGCCACAGCAGCCAGGATGTCGGAAATTCACGCACTAGATTATGAGAGGATACAGCTTGATGACAATCAAAACACAGCACACCTGGGACTAAGATGGGATTTCATCGCCAAAAATCAACTACCAGGTCAACCAGACAGGTTATTTCATATCCCTGCATTATCCTCCATTCTCTCGGATCTATAGATACACTGGACTTATCTCTATGCCCAGTCAGAGCTCTCAAAATCTATTTACGACGTTCCAAAACAAGGCGAAGATTTCTCAAACGATTATTCATTCCCTTGTCGGCAACAACTCAGACAGAAGTCTCTCGTACCACCATATCTATATGGATAAGAACTGTCATACTTCGCGCCTACAAGGCAGCAGGACTGGACCCTCCAACAGCATCAAATCCCCATGAGATCAGGGCTTTAGCTTCCACTCTCGCCCTACACGGTAACTGTTCATTGAATACAATTATGGAAGGATGCTTTTGGAAATCTAACATGGTGTTTGCTAATCACTACCTGAGAGATATCACCACCGAGGACATCTCAGGCATTCACCATTTCGGTCCCTTGGTCCTCGCACAGCAGTTGACAGTAGTCTTACGAGATTAATATGCATAATTGTTACATGCATTATCTAGCTTATAACTCTACGGAGTTCTAGCACTATGTATATATGTTCAGTGGTATAGCTTCTCTATCAGAGTCGCTTTGATATTGTTGTTTATAATATCTCAGTATATTATTAATGTAAATAACCCAGTATGGCATTATAACCTATGGCTTATAATAGAGGAATTATCCTAAGTCTATGCCTTTATGAAGTTCCCGTAGGGGTTATTACAGTTATATCTATATAAATCACTAATTCTATAAATCCAAAGTATTCTGTTTTGCCCACCTCCGTTTCCGTGAGGATTCTACAAACAAAAGAGCATGAGTCAGGATAAGGAAAAATATGTAATTTTTTGAGTAAAATTGATATTTTATACTTATCCTGACTCATGAGGTAAGCCCTCCCATCCTCCCCACATAACACTTTGGATTTCCCTGTAAATTCAAGTGTTGGGCTCGCAAAATCAGGAGAGAGTGAAGCATGAGGCCAGAGGGTGGCGACACCTGTTCCCGCCAAAAGGGCAAGGGAGGCAACTCTTGGTGAGTACCAATTAGTGATTTTACATTGAAGGGAGCTTCAATTAAGGAGATACAAGTGTTCCACTATGTTCGCAAGAAGAAGAAGACGAGCAAAAGAGCATGAGTCAGGATAAGTATAAAATATCAATTTTACTCAAAAAATTACATATTTGTAGATAGTCAGGTCTGGACTAGACAATCCGGTGATGGATACCTTGAGCATCAATATACACAATTGGGATACATTGACATTCATCAACCAAGTCAGAGAGCCTGACCACCCAGTCCCATTAACGACAAGCTTTGGTTGCTGAAGACCAATTCTAACCAGGATCTTGACAGGCCTAACTTTGGTGAATGCATGGATCGGTGCTCGCAGTCACTGGTTTCCCTGGCCCAGACTTTGCAGTTTATAAGCCGCTGTGATGTAGAATATAGCTGGCTGACTATAAACAACTTTCACAACCTTGAAAATGGTTGAGTTTTTCAGATAAATCAAAATGGTGGAGCTTGTTTACATCCTCTGATTTCTTCATTGCTGTTTTGTCCATTACAGGACAAGGAGGACTTTGAGCTGCGGAAGACAGCAGTAACAACGTTACTTAATGATCACGGTCAAGCCCTAGTACATGCATGCATCAATGCCTGCATCTTCTGTCTGCCCACTTATATGATACCAGATGTAGCTGAAGTCCTGTATGAGCTCATGCTGATTGACAGGGCGGTACGTGACCTTTCCATGACTCAAACAACTAGTCAACTCTCACTGGCAATGTCTAAACAAAGGCATGGTGTACAACCTGGATTAGGTTGTTGATGTTTTACAACAAAAATTAAGAATATCTTTCAGCAAGCATAATTAAAAACTTTCATTCTGGAAACTTCACAAACAATTTGTTACAAAATAATCACTCCAACTGACATGAGTCCGGGTCATGACAGATATGGGAGTAGAGGATCATAATCACTGATGAATAGGATTATTTTAGTGAATAATGTATGGATGTGGACATGATATATATTGCTTGATATTGATGTGATAATGATCAGATCTGAGATATTGATAATATTTGGGATGAATTTGAATAGGATATTGATACTGATATAGTCAATGACAGATTTGAAAAATGCATACATAAATATCAGGGATAAATTCTTTATAAGGTGGAGAAATCAAACTAATTGGATCACATTCCAGGTCCTCCTTTAGTTACATGTTATTACAGGTGTTGTGTAAGATGTATTTTAAACTACCATCTGAACACACCTTTTTACAATTTTATGATATTTTATGATATACAGACGTTCTGTGTATGGTTGGAGACAACGCTTACTGCCCTGCCAACTGAAAGTAGCGGTGGAGCCATCACGGCCACAAAGAAACAGCTGACAGATTTCCATAAAACAGTCACAAGGTACGTTAACATGAGATCAGTACTTATGAACATTCAGGGCCACACACCGAAGACCCGGGTTTCTGGTGTACCCCACCGTGATATTGCTGGAATATTGGTAAAAGCGGCATCAAACTAAACTCACTCACTCACTCACTCACTTATGACCATTTAACTCATCATTATAGATTTTCAACTAATTTGACAAGACTGGTAAAAGGCATTGTACATTTTGCATGTTCATGGTTACATGCATCAACATTAGACAGGGCTATATATAGTGTGTTGTATATATATAAGGCAAGGCAATGTTTTGGTCACTTCTGAAAGGTTATTAACACTGTAGTCAAAAATAGCCACTAAATTAACGTGCAGCATGTGCCATGGTAACCAACGTTTCTGTTAGACCCGGGTTCGATTCCACACATGGGCACAATGTGTGAAGCCCATTTCTGGTGTCCCTCGCCGTGATATTGCTGGAATATTGCTAAAAGCGGCGTAAAACTAAACTCAGTCAGTCAGTCAGTTGTTGTGAATCGTCCTGTATTTCTGATTTCCTGTTTCAGTGCAGAGCATCTCAAGCCTGTATCCCATGCCATCAGAGATTTCTCCCGCCTATACAGATAGAAACAACTAGTTGTCTGGATAACACTACACACATAGACACAGCTAGTTGTCACTCATGCAGTATCCTGGTGCTAGTCAATGCGTGTGACAGAAGCCATTGTGTCCTGGATCGCCAAGACTCCCACTGCTTAAGCAGGCCTTAAGTAGATGTTATGTTTGCCTTAGCTGAGCTTAAGTATGCCTTAAGTTCTCCAGCTGTGATAAGCGAACAGTGTTGCATGTGTCACAAAGCCCTTCTGAAGATCTGCCATGTCCTGATGCTTTTCCTGACTACCTTGTCACTGAGTTCTGACTGAAGAATACATGGCAAAACATTTAACCTGATGACTTTCATGAACATGTTTTGACTGTTGAAGGAACACAGCCAGTTACATGCACTCTAAGTCCTCTTGTAAAGGGGACACCTTGTGTTATGAATGGTATCTGATGGTAATGCTAATGAAGGCCTTCTCCTTGTGCTGTTGCTGCTCAATTTGATCCTTTAAGGTGATACTCAAATGGAGTGATAATCTCGACTCCTATTTCTCCACTCGACCACAGTGTTTGACATGTATCAGGCTAGTGAGTCTCTGCATGTGCTACAGAAATTCTCTGGAAACTTGTACCCCATTGTATGCTGTATGAGATGAAGAATTTGTGATATTAATGTTTATGCAGGGTTACACTGATGTCTGTATAGCCATACTATCCCTGATTATATTGACATCTGTTTAGTCTATACTATTGTAGGTTATATTGATAAATGTATAGCCCTAACTATGCAGGGTTATATTGACATCAATATAAGCCATACTATCCCAGGTTGGACTGACATATGTTTAATCTTGACTATCCTGGGTTACGATAGATGTATAACCACACTATCTCAGGTCATACTGACATCCATGATCCTTGCTTGTGGATTCTGCCCCCCAAATTATGCTGATGTTGAAATACTGAAATTCAAAGCAGTATTTATCTTAGATCCATTCATATATGAAGCTGTAATTGAATACTTGAACAGAATAGAGAAGGACAGAGAAGAGTCTTGTTTCTCTCGATGCCATAAATATGAAAGCATCCTCTTACACCACTGTCACAACTAGCAAGCAACAGTACTTCCTACCAGGTGATTAATGATATGTCGAACCAGGAGTGTTAGTGGACAGGCCATGAGTTAGCCTACGGTATGAGTGTTGCCTGTTGCTCACTTGTGTTGTAGTGTATCCAGACATTGTATATTACTTGACTGTGATTTCTCGGGTACACCCAGTCCAGATGGTGAATGCCAAAAGGGATAGTGAATGCCTTTCATATGTTTGCAGCAGAAAGGTGAATGCTTGTTGGACAATACTTGGTGCATCAGATGCACTAGTTAAATGTCAGAACTAGGGGGGATGTATCTTGATACAAGCAGTGAATGCCAACCAGGTTGTGAATGCCTTCAGTACTTCAGCTCCTGAAAGTGAATGCCAATATATTGTTTTAAGTTACATTGACATCAGAATGTCACAAAGCTTAGTGAATGCTGATCAGCTAAAAAGTGCACACCATTTATCCATTTGCTTAAAAAATATCCCCCATTCATTGGATTGAGAAGGGGGAATGCCTTTGATCCATTGGATTGAGAAAAGGATTGCCTTTGGTGCATTGGATTGAGGAAGGGAATGCCTTTGGTCCATTGGATTGAGAAAAGGATTGCCTTTGGTGGATTGAATTGAGGAGGACGAAAACGTTGGTCCATTGGCTAGAGAAGGGGAATGCCTTTGTCCATTGAATTGGGAAGTGGAGTACTTTTGGTCCATTGGACTGAGATAGGGAATGCCTTTGGTGCATCGGATTGAGAAAAGGATTGCCTTTGGTGCATTGGATTGAGGAAGGGAATGCCTTTGGTCCATTGGATTGAGAAAAAGGATTGCCTTTGGTGCATTGGATTGAGAAGGGGAATGCCTTTGGTCCACTGGATTGAAATAGGGAATGCCTTTGGTCCATTGGATTGAGAAAGGGAATGCCTTTGGGGCATTGGATTGAGAAGGGGAATGCCTTTGGTCCATTGGATTGATATATGGAATGCCATAGGTCCATTGGATTGAGGAGGACGAAAACGTTGGTCCATTGGCTAGAGAAGGGGAATGCCTTTGGTCCATTGAATTGAGAAGTGGAATGCCTTTGGTCCATTGAATTGAGAAGTGGAATGCCTTTGGTCCATTGGATTGAGAAGGAGAATGACTTTGGTCCACTGGATTGAAATAGGGAATGCCTTTGGTCCATTGGATTGAGAAAGGGAATGCCTTTCGGGCATTGGATTGAGAAGTGGAATACCTTTGGTGCATTGGATTGAGAAGTGGAATGTCTTTGGTGCATTGGATTGAGGAGGAGGAACACCTTTGGTCTTTGGTAAATGTCTTCAGTTTATTCCCTCAAGAATAGGTGTTAACGATTTCACTGATCTTGTTATGTGGCTGTATAGTGTGGTATTGTACTTACTCCTAGGTTCCTGAATGGAACACCAAGTGCACTGAAACTGTTGTTCACACTATGATGCTGTCCATGCTATTAAATAAGGAGGTAGTCATTAGCTGCAGTTCTTAATTTCTTCTTGGACACATAAAACATTTCAGCAGAAGAAACTTCTGGAGTGTTAATCCTGGTTTGTATCAAGGCAGTACCAGCAAATGTTGTCCGAGGACGAGAGAATTCCATCTGTTGTATTTGTTAAACTGTGCAATCATCAGTGGTCTGTAGACCCCAGAGATTAATTAATGTGTGCACATCAATACGAGCACCAGCTGACGTGGCAGATCCTGTCCAGTGAAGGATAGAATTGTGTTCACCTATAATGGTCTTTCCTAAATGAAAAGGAGTGTTGATATCAATGTGGTTCTTATACACAAGTTGATTGTTCTGTGTCTCCCATGCTCTTCCAGTAGGGTTACAGTGGTGTTGCATCATTAAGTATGACAGTCCTCAGGCAACCGGTCTACAAAACAAGCATGTGAAGAACTGCATCCTTCACATTTTCCATCTCACTGTTCATTACTAACAGAATTTCGTCTTCTGGCCATTTCCTCATGTAAGGTTCAGCCAGATTGTCCACTGCTGATCAGAGTTGCATCCCTTAAAATTGCCAGGATCCCATAACTTTTAGATACTATTAGTTCCATATCTATGTTCTTTGCCTTTTACTTGAACTTCATTCATCTACAAACTGCTTATGGGTATCACACTAGGCTGGCAAGCCCTGAGATGACCAGTTTAACTTGTCCCCCTGATGTGTTTAATGTTGCTAAAAGCAGCATAAAAATATCCTTATTAGTGTCATGCTTCACAGACTTTTACTATGTTTTGATAAAATCAAAATTGCTCTATTTTTAGCTATAAATTCCAATGTCGGTTTCCATTGTGGGGGAAAATTCCATTGTAAAAATACTTTGTTTCATGTATTATTAATCAGAAGCCCAGCAGACTCACAAAATTAACTTAATACAACATTAACTTTGAAATAACATTTTTCCTTTCAATGTTTTTTTTCTCTTGACTATTATCCTAGCCTTGTGAGGGATAAGCTCATCTGTTAAACAAATCATTAATTGGTCTGCCCTCTATACATTCGACGGCTGTTATACATAATGATGTGTCAATTACAATATCTTCCTGTAAAGAGCGAGGTTTTGGAATTCAACATGCTGTAATTAGTGCTTGCTGTTGAAATCAAGTTTTGGAAAGGAATTGGTTGTGTTTTGTGTATTTTCAATGTTCAAGTTGTACCTGATGACAACTTGTCATGTCATGTCTAAGATTATTCCATCAAAACAAGAAAGTATATGAATCATCAGGCTTGTTGTAGGTAGTCTGGTGATTATGGTAACACGTTCAATCAGAAGTTGCTTCAGTTCACATGATTCTGATCTTGACTCATCAGGAAACCATGAACAACGGTCTGAATTTCAAAACCTATGGATTTAGTTGAGTGTTGATATTTGTGTTGTACATTTTGTAAACAGTGTCTTCTTCTGTTGGTATCTGTACATTGTTTTAGAACATTTGTGGATGTTTAATCCCTTGTTATATTTATTTCTTTTATGTTCACAATTTGGTCTGTTGTTGTTACAGACGTGAGATGATGTTAGAGTAACATTGTTCTTTGGGGGTCACCATCCTTCTGCGAATCATGAACAAAGCTGCATTTATCAATCCCTGTATTTTATTAGTGAAGGATGTCTGCTGGAATGTTTTCGTGTTCTGTTTGTAACTTAAACTATCGTTTGTTAGAAGTGCTTTAATGACATGTTATGTCAGTCAGTCAGTCTAATGTATAGTGATGCATCTGAGAACCCGAGATTTAAGGTCTCTGCTTGCTTGTGGCAAAGACCATGACCTATGAGTTCCCAACATCCTACCCCAGGTGTAGGACTTTCTGACTTTGTCAGCATCACTGGAACATAACTGTTTTTAGATTTTGTCCAACGAACCAGAAAGGGCAAGTCCTTATTTATTTGCTTGAATATTTTCTTTTTAAGGTTTTGTGGTTATGGGAGTACTGTGATACAGGCAAACAAGGATAAGTTGAGCACCGACCTGACAATTGACCCGGTATTAGCATGCATGAGTGCCGCCCACTGGCGCTTGCCATCGTGAGCAAAGGGGCCCCAGTTTTTCCATGATCAAGCTTAGTGCTACACCGACCATGTGAGAGTCATATGGGCAAGGGTGTGCAGCTATATTTGCGGAATCAATTTCATCCTCATGAACTGCACGTGCACTAGCCTACATCTGCTCTACCTTTCACAAACCAAATGGGTTTGCTCATTGCCGTGGCCCGCCTACTTCTCATAAAGGTGTTCTCTGTGCCGGGTCCAACTTTTCCTTGTTTGCCAGTAGGTACCTTTATGCAACAATGTTTACATTGTGAATGACTGCTGTATTGCTAAGATAACATAATTGTAATTGTGAATTTGTAATGCACATTTTCCATGTACAAGGCACATGCCCAAAGCGCTTACCCACAATCTGATTATTATTATTATCCCAGATAACCCAAGCTGCCTTTGAGGCGTTAGAAGGTTAATAGTCACATGACTTATCCCACTGGGTACCCATTTTCTGCTGGGTGAACAGAGGCAAGTTTTAACAAACTCACTTGCCTAAGGTGAGACAACATGTATCACATGTGCTTCGTTGTGGGGCAGGAAGGCTAGTACAATGAAATAAGGCACCATGATTCCCTTAGCTTCCTGACTTGACAGTTCCTATTTTCAACATCAAGATCCATTAATCCAAACTGGTTTAGCAGACATCCTTAAAGCTTTGTCGCTTTGTTTTAAGATGTTTTAGTTATTTTAATACTTGTAATGAAATGCATGCTTTGGTTGGCGTGAGTGTGGTTATGAGTTCTGAGACAAGGTTACATTGAAAAATTCGAGCTCCTGTCAACTCACTAAAATCAATCCATTAAACAGATATAAACAGATATATTTTTATCCACCTCCTGTCAAAACTACAATGGCAGATACCTCTTGAAGTTATGTGTGTAAACAGTTTCTGTAGGACAAGATTTGTTCCAGTCTTCGATGTATTTGTTCTTAGAACACTAATAGTGGTCCTTCACTCTCTTTCTTGTTAATTCTTTTGGATCATTGTTATTTAATTCCTACGTTCCTATGTTAAGGCTAATTTTTCTGCATCAAGACAATTGAAAACTGAAATTGTACAAATGTATAAATATGTATATCGATTTTGTATAATTGTACATACAAATACTCTTAGGAGAACCATGGTGTAGATGTGGAACAGACTTGCATACAGTGTTGATGGTGCTTGTGGCACTGGGTTATGTGTCACAGTGATGGCTTGCTAGTTACCTGTCCACTGGGTTATGTGTCACAGTGATGGCTTGCTAGTTACCTGTCCACTGGGTTATGTGTCACAGTGATGGCTTGCTAGTTACCTGTCCACTGGGTTATGTGAAGTGTCACGGTGATGGCTTGCTAGTTACCTGTCCACTGGGTTATGTGAAGTGTCACAGTGATGGCTTGCTAGTTACCTGTCCACTGGGTTATGTGAAGTGTCACAGTGATGGCTTGCTAGTTACCTATCCAGAACAAATGTCCTTGTTTTCTTCCTCTAGTCCAACTCAATGAAAGCCAAGCTTCCATTACCATAAAAATAATCCTCTTTTGAAACATTTCTGAAAGGTTCTGTTCTGTTGCTGTTAATGATATTGAAACATTTAAGTCCAACACTACCCTGATTTTGATCTACCCTTTTCTCACTTTCTCAATAAGTTTAACTTGATATGATTCCGTTTTATTAGGCAGTAATTCTTAAGTATAGTTTTATTTTCTTTAATTACAAGTACAGTCTCTGAGTCTAATCTTTGTCCATCCTGTGAAACTGACAAACTGCTCAAATCCCTGCTAGACTAGGGATTTTACTGTCATGCCAGTGTTTTATGTTACCGAGGTAACTAGAGGAATATGGAGATAACTTGTACCACATTGTTACAAATTCAGGCTTTTTTTCATTCAGCAACTGTGCTTGCATCTTTTTTTTTACCTTTTATTTATGCTGACAATAAATTTTATCCATGACAGTTTGACTTGTGGTTTTATCTGTGCAGTGGTCTTTTTCCTCATGGTAACCAGGGACACCGAACAGAGACAGACAACTCTAAGTGTTCAAGCCAATGCTCAGTTCTCAGCAGTTACCTCTATAAATCTTCCCACCACCATTAATGGTTTGTCTGCCACATGCTATTGCTCATTGGATCACAAGGTCTGTTACCATGGTCACAGGAGATTTTCTCTCACATTAACTTGCCATGCTGGGACATAAAACTTTTTAACAGGTTCTAGAAGTAATTCTATGGGTATAACAAGTTCAGATGTACAAATTTTGGAGAAAATTGTCCAACAGACCAGCATTTTTGCCAATGTCACAAGTGGGTCATGAATTCCTTTGCTGGTCAAACCCAACACAGCCATTGCTTTTCTTCAGCAGAACACACTGGACTTTCATTGGTAGGAACAAGCATGTGAAGTTTCAGCTCCTAGATCTGTTGACATGCAGTCAGGTGAGCTAAATCCAGTTGCGAAGCAACCAAATAGAATGCTAATGTCCGGTGGTTTTTTTTTGTGAGTTGATATTTGTTTTAGGATCAGCAGAAATGAACTTCCTGCATCAAATTAAAAGCATAATTCCTTGCAGGCGGTCGAATGCGTTTTATCCAAAATCAATTACGAGCAAATAATTTGAATAGATCAAGTCACAGAAAATGAGAAGTGTCGATGTAAATGCGTAAACACAACTAGCGTGATTGCCGTGGTTGCCGTGGTTGCCTGTTGTTTGAGATTATTGATTTTCGTTGTTTACCTTCCACATGTTCTCAGTCAGAATTATTCTGTTCGTTTCAGTCGAGACAAATGTATCAAATTGTCACTCCAGCCTAGGTATATGCAATGCCAAATGTCCCTAAGGTCAGATGTTTCTTGAAAATGTTTTTTTACTGTGGCGTCTGAAAATTGCAATTTCAGTATCAAGCGTCTGAATCCTCGCCTTTCTACAGGTATCCTGGTGAGATGTTCATTGTGTTCCCCATGAGTCACTGTGACATCGCTGTATGTATCAGATGGGTCATCAGATCAATAAATCATCATTTCTGGCTGAAATAAACTCATAGTAAACACCAAGTGTCTCACAAACAGTTTATTTTATGTTAAATGTACATATTGAAACGTTACTGCAAATGGACAATAAACGCCTTCCCAAGAAGTCATCTTCCCCCTGAATAAGGCAAACACAGTCTAGAGTACACTACGTACCTTCTCTCTTCAATATGTTTGGCAGTTGTATGTTTAGATGAATTAAAATCCTCAGTGGCTCGGGCCACATTCTATCAAAGTGGTAACAAGTAAATACGGCGACGTACCTTGAGACCAGAGGTTGTGTGAGATATGTAACATGGAGGGCGAACATCATATCTATTCATTTGTAATGCATATGGTAACCTTCGACCATACCATATTCCTGACTATTTCCAAGTACATTCCCCGGAAAATAAGTTTTTATATTCGAATTTGAAACCGATACAAAATTAAAGCGGTCCTACTTAGCATTACGAAATGAATCGTCATACCTTCTTCTGTTCACCTTCCATTGTACCGCGAACCGTGGGTCTGCTCAAGTACTGAATGAAGGATTAGAAATTAGACAACGCAAGAATGCGATATGTTTCTCCTGAAATTTACCACGGCTTGCAAAGACAACTTCCTATGCTTTCTAAGCAGTCATTCTCTGAAATACGTTTCACTTAAAACGCTGAAACTGACCTTGACGAAGACGAGATACCACAAAGCATGGCATACTTTTAGACCGTAGTTCTACCATCTTCACTCCCTCCAAGGAGGGCGGTGGTGCAAGCCTAGTAGTTTAACGCGTTCGCTTCTCACGCCGAAGACCCGGGTTCGATTCCCCACATGGGTACAATGTGTGAAGCCCATTTCTGGTGTCCCCCGCCATGATATTGCTGGAATATTGCTAAAAGCGGCGTAAAACTAAACTCACTCACTCACCCTCCGAGGAATTCAGGTGCGGTGGGGTAAAGCTCTCGCTCGTCACGCCGAAGACCAGTGTTCCATTCCTAACATTGGTACAATATGTGAAGTCCATTTCTGGCATCCCCGATATTTTGGTGGAATATTGCTAAAATCAGTGTAATGCTACACCCATTCATAGATTCCAGCACAGATTAGTCCCCCGGTTGTGTCTAGATTGGACAGGATGGCTGTGGTTGTTCTGTTGTTACTCAGTATGTCAACCACTGGTTTCCCGCCCCAGTTGTATTTCCCAAAGAACACGGATATACTGCTTAATGACTGTCAACAACAGGCATTCCCACGTAAACATACATCCACGGACCAACGGTTTGTCAATTTAATAATTGTCGAGAAATACATAAAAAAACTATGCACACTATATATTGATCTGACCCGTGAAGATCCGGGTTGTCCTAAGAGGCGATCATCAGGATCGGGTAGTCAGCCTCGATGACTTGCTTGTTGCATGTCATCAGGATCGGGTAGTCAGCCTCGCTGTCTTGCTTGTTGCATGTCATCGTATCCCAGATGCTTAGATAGATGCCCATAAAGGTCACTGGATTGTCGGGTCCAGAATCCATTATGTACAGACCGCCCTCATATAGCTGGAATATCGCTGAGAGCAGCAGCAACAACAACAACAACAAAATAAACATGTATTAATATACTTGCGCTATTCTGTCTAAGTGGTCTCCCGTCTTCAGCCTCTTGCAACGAAGTGTCACTTTTCAGTAGCAATCGTACTTTACATCCTTGAAACCAGTTTGATATTGGCAGACAGGTCATATGAGACTGAGGATGGTTGATATACACAGTCACACCGGTGATTAAGAAAGCACGGTGTCTGGCGCTGATACAGTTATGGGGCTTATATTGATTTTCACAGCAATTGATGGGAAGCTTTAACACGCTGAGATACCTACTGAAACTGCAAGGAAGTCACACAGGAAACTAAACGTTCGATCAGGAATGTATAACATTGCAACTGACACATGTAGGGCAGTATTACACGTACACAGAAGCGGAAGAAAAAAATGGATGATTTCTGGTGAAATCGAAAACCCCTTCAATAGTAAACCACATGAAACGGGCGTGTATGATACTGTTAAATTCATGAAGCATTACCTAAAATAACGTCATCAGTGTAACGCTGGAAAGATCATATCTCGACTTTAATGTCCCCGTTAGCCCGACGGAATTAATAGTGCACGTAACATACATGATGTACAGTTGAGATTAGATTCAGATCATTGGTCCATACGACCAGATAATTGCAAGTGCAGATTAAATTTGCATCTATATAGTAATTTTATACGACAGTGGGGAAACTGGGCCGCAAAAGTAAACGTTGAGATAACTTTCCAAGGAATGGTCACCTGTGAGTTCTGTGTGAGTGGGGTAGCCATGTTAAACTGGCTATTGTTGTGAGTTAGCACAGTATAACGGGACACTTACAGTACAATCTGCCACATTCCATCTCCCGTGTGCAGGTCACTATGTAAGAGCGATGATCCTGAACGCGACGTAGAACCCAGTTTACCTCGCCTCACCCGGTCGTCCATGTTCCTGATGTTGATGCAGCTACAGGCTGATGCGGCAGAGGCATATTCAGAGCATCACACACATGCAGAAAGTAATGTTCAAGATTGATACCATAGAGACGTGTGAACCACTTTAGTATCTCTCAAGTGTATTGGCATCTTACCATATACAGAAAATTATATTATACTACTTTGCATTTGCTTAAGCTTGTAATTGCTGCAGGCGGGCAATATCGCCCCGTGGCTAGACAAGATGGAAGTCGTAGTTTCAGAGGTTCCGCCACCTTTGCGTGGTTATGAGCCAGGCAGGATGATGAGATAAGCGGTTTTCGACCTGATAATCAGTCCCTGAATGTTTTTCAGACACACTAACGCTCATAAACTCCGGTCAGAGTTTCTTTGAAGGTCCTTGATAGCGGTTTATTACTTCACCAATGCGTTTCTCGTTCTTGACATGTGGGTCGAATGCGTCAACGACCGTGATCAGTCCGACACACTCAAGGTATGGGAATACAGCTAATCAGCTGTTTGCAACGGACGTTGATAGCGCTGTCCATTTGTAGAACTTGCATCACGTTCACTGGTCACGGTCAACTCAGTATTTTAATACAACAATAATAATTGAGGATTAAATATGCAGTAATGGGACCAAAAAAAGCAACCACAGGGTCAGGTAACTCGCATACATAAATCAGATTGAGATCGCAGGATCGTTCTGTATAGTGAGCATCACAGCCGGATTTCCATAACGAGGCAAACGTATAGTTCAAGGTCACGGCATCTACAAAAGTAGTTGCAGAGTGTAGTTATTTCTCTCTTGTCTCCGATGAACGAATCGGTTTCGATGCGACGGATATAACTTGATGGCATTTCGGCCTTTAAATCCCAGTATCTCTGTGTTGAAGAGGAACTCACAAATCCATCCACATGTAAGGCATATTCTGTCAATAACAAAATCAAAAGGCGACCTATATCTGATGAACCTATATAATTGTCCCAGTTTGCAAGGACCTTAACCCCAGGTTGAAATGTCTTGATATATTTAAGTGAATGGAATACACGTGAAGACGAAAGAAAACAATTGTCACAAATCATCACAATGTTGAGGTCCTTGATCGCCATTTCCGTTCGGCAAGGTTTCTTAGTGATTGTCTGATTTGTAACTTGGCAGCCACCGCCGGCCTCTGCATGATCCAAGTGAGTTTCTCTCGTTTCTTATGCACCGTCTTCACCTGTCGACAAAGTATATTGAACACTTCATACACACTGTCACAGTCATCACTCGCCGACACTTCACAGAGGAGACAGTTGTGTTCCTGCGCCCACCCCGTACACTCCTGGAGCGTCAGTTGACGCATGTGTATAAGGTCACACTTATTGCCAGCAATAACGATTGGCAGTCTCTCGTCCTCTCTAGCCAATCGGAGACGGTCTACCAAATCGACGACGAACTGGAAACTTTCCGGGTCCGTCACTGAGTAGGCTAATAAGAAGCCATCTGCCCAGGTGATCGGATCCTCCTTCAGTCCGTTGTTGGGTGCCTGGAAGTATTGGAATTATTATGTTATCATAACACATGTTGTTCGTAATCAAATATAATTAACTATGTTAAGGTGGTAGTTATTGGTCATTTACAAATTTGCAAATTTGATTGAAGTATACTCTTAAAAATAATAGGGGAACCTGACATTTTAATTTGGATAGGAATTATAAGCGTTAACAAACTTTTCAAAGACATCTTATGAACGCACCACCATTGCTCTTTATCACCACCCCTAAACACAAGGCTTGGGATGCACGTGCACAACGCAGTAGGCCCAGACACGTGCATGGAGTATCATTCTTGAGTTAGTGAGTGAGTGAGTGAGTTAAGATTTTAAGTCACATCGGCAATATTTCAGCCATATCGTGACTAATCATTCTTGATTTTAACGGTTTTCAAGAAGGTCGATAATTCACTGTTGACCATTAATTTTGACAATCATGACACAGTTGTTAGTGTTTGTTTCTATCCGGGATTTTTTGTTGGTTGAAAATGAAAATCTTACACATGCAAATTTCACGTCATACACCAATCATCTTTCAAGAGCGATTACTGTACAAACAAGTATGGTCATAAGGAAGTGCAAGTGGTGATGCACTCTCAAAACATTCATCATTATCATATCAGCATTGATTGACTACGATATATCTTCCAATTTTTTCAATCACCTACTTTTTTATGAGTATAATTCCAAACCCAGTCTGTATGTATAAACCCACAAATGTACATGTACTTATCAATCTATCAACAGTGTACTATAGTCACACAACAACAGTCTCGGGATTACACCTATATCTATAGACTAATGCTTAGTCTCTGAATATATATAATTTTGATAGTAACAAACTAGCCCATTTAAATTGAAAAGGAGCCCTAGGGAGACCAAAGATTCAGAACCTGAGGAAATCTAGACTTGCTTTATTTCGGGGTTTAGCACTGCAGAGAGGTTAAGGCAGTAAGGAAAATAATGTGGTTCAGGGACTGTGAAACAGACTACTATATCTACTAAACCGTCTAGACCTATGGCTCCAGGTCACGGGGTACAGTGCCCCTAGAACGATATAAGAAGTATAACAATTGAAGAAGGACTTGGTACTGTGTGGTGGTTTTCGCTGATTGACAACAGGCAAACAACAAGGACATGTATGTTAGACAATGGTGGTACTGTGTGGTGGGTTTAGCTGATTGACAACAGGCAAACAACAAGGACATGTATGTTAGACAATGGTGGTGCTGTGTGGTAGGTTTAGCTGATTGACAACAGGCAAACAACAAGGACATGTATGTTAGACAATGGTGGTGACATGTATGTTGTGTGGTGGTTTTAGCTGATTGACAACAGGCAAACAACAAGGACATGTATGTTAGACAATGGTGGTGCTGTGTGGTGGTTTTAGCTGATTGACAACAGGCAAACAACAAGGACATGTATGTTAGACAATGGTGGTGCTGTGTGGTGGTTTTAGCTGATTGACAACAGGCAAACAACAGGGACATGTATGTTAGACAATGGTGGTGCTGTGGCAGCCGTATTCCCAGTAAGACAATGGTGGTGCTGTGGCAGCCGTATTCCCAGTAAGTCATCGTATGGTATCAGCGGTTCAACGTCAGCCAGTGCTTGTAGCTATGGGAAGACATATTAGAAAAGTAGAGTTTGTTGAGAATTCGAGATGAAAAATGAAACCTTTAGAAAACCACACGTTGGCTCCAATGTAAACGGTAAGAGTTTGGACTTTCATCTCAAATCCTTATTTAAGGTCACTTCTGTACAAATGTACTTTGATGGAGGTAGGTGCCAAAGGTGGAGAGGTAAAAACAATGCTATAATTTGCCAAAGCCATTTCTGAAGGGTCGCTTAGTAGCCCATAAGAGTAGCATGCAGTTAGGTACAGAATTACAAAACAAAGCTTCTTGTTAAGATGTTTAATTCACATAAAAAACTGTAAACGCCAACGTAGAGCATTAATAGGTATCAATTGATATCGACATCCAGGACAAAACTGAAAATATGGGTATGGGTGCGCACTCACGCACGCACGCACGCACGCACACACACACACACACACACACACACCACATCCAGCGATTACATTTGAACCCAGGTAATGCCTTGTCATGAATAAATACGAAACCATTATTTACACACATTTTCATATTTTCATTTCATATTTTTTCATATATGCATCCACTGTCCGACTGCATGATTGCGATCAAATATCGTCGTTTTGATCAATCCCTGTAATCGAAGCGAAAACAAATAATTATCTACATGTGATCAATGGGAAAAGCATCCCAAATCTATTAGTATCTGATAGGTTGGTAGACTGAATCTATGTCTACTTATACCGTTTGCAGGCATCACGATTAAACGTTCCATGTATATCTTCCGAAACTGGACCCGTGAAGGTCAGGGTTAGAATATTGGTCTTCAGTAACCCACGATTGTCGTAAGAGGCGACTAACGGGATCGGGTGGTCAGGCTGCTGACTTGGTTGACACATGTCATCGGTTCCCAATTGCGCAGATCGATGCTCATGCTGTTGATGACTGGATTGTCTGGTTCAGACTCGATTATTTACAGACCGCCGCCATATAGCTGGAATATTGCTGAGTGCGGCGTAAAACTAAACTCACTCACTCTTCCGAAACTGCCTGCGATACTAAGGCACACCAGGAAACCGTTAACTTGCTGAATGATACTGATCCAATTCCCCTGGTTGTGTGGGTATTCTTAAAGTCTCGCTATAGGCCTTAATCGCCTGAATTGATAGATGCCATGTCACCTTGCTGGTGTAAAGCGTGGACATTCTAGTGATTTAATGGACAGGTAAATTTTACGGTGAGACTTTTTGTGGATGTTAATAGCAGGATTTAATTTGACCAGTATTTGCCTTTCCGCCAAAGATACGTTTTTCTGTAGACATTTCGCGGCACTACTGTTAACGATTCGCGACTATACAACTCTCACTGTCTATCAGTTGCACAAAAGAAACTAAATTTAGCAAGACGTGTAGTTGCTAAAGCTTGCTCAAGTTCCTGCCGCCTGATGAAGCAAGTCTCCCTCGCTCCACTAAAACTGAATTGGCTGTCATATGTACAGCCCACCCCTAGCTGCCATATGTACTGCCCACACCACAAATGCTCAATTTGTCTCAGTATAGGGTCAGGTACACTGGGTAAGTGAGTCTTTAATGCATGAAGTCGTCTCATTGTGGATGTATTCCAAACATTCTGGTGACACATGTCTTCGATATTTTGCGCCAGAATTTGCTGTGGTAGATGTGATATTATCAATTCATTTTTATCTAATCCCTCTGTGTTGCTTTGGATATATACCATTACCAGTGTACGATCAGACTGCTTGATCTTTTCCATGCTGTGATCTGTGTCCATGAAGACAAATCAATCTTTTGTTCACTGATGGATTTGGCCATATTGTAAGATCTAGCCGGCAGTGAATGCCTGTGTATATGTCTTACTGTTCAATCTACGTCGCACTTGAGAAATCCGTGGGGAACATAACCTTGTTTCAAACTGATTAGCTGTCTGAGCTTTATGACGTGACCTCATAAAATTGAAACTGGAACCAGAATTCTGCGACAGATATACTTATAAACTTGGCTGTCAACTGGCTTGACCTTCAGAAAGCATTCGAATATGGAGAACCGTATAATGTTGGACTTCAGCCACAGGCCGCAAGCCTGCAGAATTTGACTAAAGATGTTCAAGTCAAGGTCAATGACCTTTATCATGTGACCAGTGTGCTTCTCCCTCTATGTTATGTTCGGAACCCAATAGAAAAGTCAGATTAAAGCTTCTTTGGTTAAAAATGAGATCGCGGGAGCCATATTTCTCCATAGCACAAATTAAGTGTCGACTCATATAGCGATTATTCCCTTCAGCAGAGCTGTTACGCCGAGGGTAAGACTCCACGGTGCAGTTCCACGTCAGGAGCAGTCAGGGTGCCGTGCCGTATCTCGGTCGCACGACACCGCATCAACAATATCAAACACACGAAAGCGATTCAATTATGATCCAGTGCTTCAGATCCGTGATAACGTGCTTGTGTGGATCTCAAGATTAAGAGCCTCTTAGCAGCAGAAACTGGGGTGACATAAAACATTGATTGCTTTAAGCTTGCTCTGACAGAATCTGAAGATGATAAAGGACTTGTTTTATTTGTCAAATTGGCTGAAGGTACCCCAGGACCTGATAGTGTACATGTTGTTGCTACAGTGGTTGCTTGTTTGGTTTATTGTTTACGCCGCTCTCAGCAATATTCCAGCTATTCCAGCGGCGGTCTGTAAATAATTGAATATAGGCCAGACAACCCCGTGATCAACAATATGAGCATCGATCTACGCAACTGAGATACGATGACATGTGTCAGTCAAGTCAGCGAGCCTGACCACCTGAACCCGTTAGTCGCCTCTTACGACAAGCATGGGTTGCTGAAGCCCAATTCTAACCTGGATCTTCACGGGTCCAGATCCCACAAGATGTCACCTGACACACCTGAGATCCAGTTAATAATGATGTTAACATAGATAATGTACAGAACAGGATCACACTCCAGTAAAGGATCAGTAGATACAAGCAGGGGATCTCACGCAAGAGCAGCGAACAGCAGGTGTTAAACCATGTCAGTTAGGTCGGAGGCATGCAACATTATCTGACGAAGATGTTACAGGGAGATACGGGGCGCTGGTTGTAGTGTACAGCATGCCATGTCTTGACTCCGTCAGCAGTCTGACCCATCAACTTGCTGTGTGGTATCCCTGCGTTCAGGCTCACAACCTCCACATGGTGTTCATTGCAGATGTTTCGGCCAATTACTTCAATGAAGCATTTCCAACGGTCCCGATAATTGAGGAAACTTTGTTAGTCATCCATCAGCTAGGTTTTACTGTGAAGACAACACGACTACGCCATGTCGTTGCGAGTCACTGATCAGGTGCCAGACAAACCCAGCTGGAAGAGCGAGGACCGAACAACGCCGTGGTGGCATGGTGAGACAATGCGTCTGTTAGGTTACTGCAGATGAAACATATTTAACAGCAGTTAACGCCACTCAATACCCATTTCAGTCAACATGCACGATAATTAAGCTATACCCTTACAATTAAATTACAATAAAACAACTCGCCCATTAGAAGCTTTCTGATACGAAACGTCAAGTTCAAGGCCACAACGAACAGTGTCCTATATTCTCTATGATATAACAAACGTTTGATAACAACCGTAGATGAAGAAAACCAACCAATGGCTGACTCGTATCGTGCTTTTGCTTGCATGATATACCTTATCGTGGACAAATGGACAAATATATTAAATCACAACCCGACTATGGCTTCACTGTCGGCCTGGTACGCGTGTTCAGCGCCATACTTCTACATGTACCAAATCAAGATAACCCAGTTTTGTTGCTGCTTATTACAATAAAGAATATAGGGGCTTCTGTTGCTGACAAGGAGAAACAAAATAACCACGTCTGGAGTCGTGCATGTCATCTTCTGTCGTCTTTACATAAGGGGATTCTTCCAGGTAAGAATCTCTTCAGTAAAGTCTTTTATTTGCTCTGCCAATAAAATTGTCCTTAAACGTTTTAAAATATTCAATGATGGATTCACGGTATATTTGTGGTAGTCTGTTTCACACTGTTATATCAGCACCTAGCCATTTCTTTAATGTGAAACCCCAAGGTGAAGCAAGTCAGATTTTCCCCTGATTCAGAATCTCACATCTCCCTTTAGTTGAAGGAAAGTTATTTGGTTCTATGAAAATAAGAATAGGATCGAAGTATTAGCGTTAGACTTGGAGACACCCCTTGAAGACCCACTTCAGTTTTCTGTTGTAGGTTCAAGTCCCGGAGTAACTTTGGTCATGATCCTGGTCTGTCAGGAATTTCCCATTGGGTAAAGCAGATCGTTTTTATGTAACTTCCTTATAGGAAAGTCGCAAGTCGCTGTTTCACTTACATCCGTTGTGGCAATAATCCCACACCCCTAGGTCTGTACAAAGGGCTGACAAGGTCAGTCGTTTCAAAACAGTGATCAGGATATCAGATGTTTCTGTAAAATTCCGCTATTATATGTAGTGTGTTACCTCCAATCTCTCGTGGAGATCTCGCGGAGATCGTGTTTCTACCCGAAAGAGACCCGTGCCGATCCGAGTTAGAACTGGTCTTCAGAAACCAATGTCAGTCGTAAGAGCTAGGCGACTAACGGGATCGGATGGCCTTGGTCCATGCATATCATCGAGTCCCAAATTTGCAGTATTGCTGGGTACGGCGTTAAACAACGCTCGCATATAAACACATACTGTTGTGCAGTTCTGCATCGAAAGCGAAAGCAGGAGACTATATTCCTTTGTTGCAAAGTTTTGTTTTAAGTGGGCTTGATTGAAGCTCAGTGCGAAACTGTGTTGTTCACCTTGCACATGTTGTTTATTCAACGTGGCCTGGTGTTCACGTGACGTTGTGCTGTTACCGTGACTTTGTGCTGTTCAACGTGCATACAATTGTTGTTCAGCCTGCTCCACAGCGTTGTTTCTATAATCCTGCCCCAGGGTATACATCTCTATAAGTGTCTGTGTTACAGTTAGTGCATGCTATCTGGGGCAACAATAATGTTAGTAACTAACCGTGTTTCGCAGGGGACGCTTATAGGAGTCAGGCCTTACGTGCCACTGCGTGTCCATGATGTTGACTGTCACGTGCTTGCCGTCCACGACACCAGCGCGAGAGAAGATAGCCTCTGAAACACAGACACTTGAAGAAGTAAGAACAAGTGTAAACAAATGCAATTACATTGTGAGAGAAGACAGGATCTTTACAATCAGATCTTAGGTCTGCCTTGAGCTACGTAACACCAGAGTACATACCATCACAGGTCACAGAATAACAACCTTTTACAAACTTTGACAGACAATGACATCAGGAAGGCGACATTTGCCAATCCCGATCAGAAATCAGCTTTCTCAAACTTTACAGACTTACTTCAAAATAGCGACGAATGTTTGACATCATTGTTGATTCCAAATATGAAAACTGAACAGAAGACATGTCCGCTAAATGGCCATGATTGTGTGGTAGTACACCCCACGGACTATAGAAATATTAATGTTTCAAATGTGAATCCCGTGTATCCTGGACCGGTCGTTCTGAACGCCCTGTTTGCGTCTCGCAAAGACATTCCGACTTTCACGATCGCCATCTTGTAAGCGACGCTCTGATTGGTCATTCTGACTTTTGGGTAGAGGCAACGAGATTTACTGAGATTTCATCTTAATAAGACACAAAAGACAACTAAACCTCATTTGGTCAACACCTCATTTGGTATTATTTCACTTTATGAATGTGAAGTTGTCGTCTCGAAATGTGTGTGAATACTCTGGACAAATAAACCCTTTTCTCTGTGTGACCCACCAACATGTAATGCCTAGCATAATCTTTTTCTAGACGTTCACATTCCGTTTTTAGAGGTAGATGTGCAACAATACTGCCTACACAAGAAGTATACCGTCTGTGTTAACAATTATTTGAAATTCGAATCAGACCCGCATTTGGGATTCAAACAGATACATGAAAAATAAAACGGCCTGGCAAACGAAAGTATACACAGGAAAACAGCTTTGACAGAAACATGACAGACGTTATGAGAACCATACTCGGCGGAAAGGAGTCTCCAAAATACTACCAACTTAAGGTTAACACAACTATGTGAGTCGTATTGAATCCTCCACCACCGAATAGCCATGTCTTTTTGTATTTATTTCTTAGCTACCATCAAACATGGGTGTATACTTCCTTTTTCTTGGCAGTTTGTGAAAGAATGAGTATGGTTTTACGCTGATTTCAGGAATATTCCAGCAATATCACATCGGGGGACACTAGAAATGGGCTTCATACACTGTACACATGTGTGGAATTGTACCCGGGCCTACGGCGAATGCTTTAACCTCTAGGCTACCCCATCGCTCCAGTTTTTAAAAGAAACTGCAGTGACTTCATATCATGAGTTAGTGAGTGAGTGAGTTTAGTTTTACGCCGCACTCAGAATATTCCAGCTATATGGCGGCGGTCTGTAAATAATCGAGTCTGGACCAGACAATCCAGTCATCAACAGCATGAGCATCGATCTGCGCAATTGGGAACCGATGACATGTGTCAACCAAGTCAGCCAGCCTGACCACCCGATCCCGTTAGTCGCCTCTTACGACAAGCACAGTCGCCTTTTGTGGCAAGCATGGGTTGCTGAAGACCTATTCTACTCCGGATCTTCACGGGTCTCATATCATGAGCACAGAGTAATCACATAATATACCTTAAGCCCTTTAACACATACAGCATTGACGTTCCTTGCAGTGACAAGATCATATAACACTATAACACATATATAACCCACTACAGCACACATGCTATAAATAATAACCACGTCATACGGAAATCATCATGTATGACCGTTGTTTGAACCGCTGAACCTTCTCTCCACCTGGGAGAAGGTCGAGCAACGAACCGTTAATAGTTTGAGGGATGGGAGGTCACGAGTCACCATGACGTCCATAGCACCATCTACCTGACAGGATGCTACTGTTAGACCCACTGCACAAGTACACGAAGACTACAATGTTTTCTGAGTCGTGGAATGAAACACAATATTGCACAGTACAAGAGAGGACCACTACCCTCAAGTTTTTGTTTCAAATACGCAGAATAAATTGACTTTCAATTTTGCGAATTATCGTCGGATTATTGGTTTTCCGACACCCAACGTGTTGGCTGGAAGTGCTAACTCGGGTTATATCGAGGGGTGTGGAATCACACTGACATTGTCAATATTGAATGGTGGCTGGTGTTTGAGATCAAATTTTTTTTTATGAGTTAACGGATTGGTTGTGGCTGGCTATCTTAGAAGTAGTCCGTTACCGGAGCAGTCTTCTGCGAATTCATTGTCATTGTTTTGGGGATAGTGAGATAGATAGTTCTAATGTCGGGTCTTGATGAAACGACCATATTCACAGCGGGGACATGCTATGTTATTCAGATATATGTCGGTCACGTGTCACGTCTGGATTCGCTCAGTGACCACCAGATGGCGCCGAATATTGGAGGTGGTAATTATGTCTTCTGATGTCACAGCGTGGTGTCTGACACTGAATGAATGGATGAGATGTTTGTCTGGAGCCAGTGTATAGCCGATATGACCGTGGCCTTCGCAAGGATGTTGGCATAATGGATGTTGTTTGTGCAATGTTAAAGCAGATACCATGTAAACAACATGGTCTCATGAAATTCTTCAGAGGCATTTAGAAGTTGGTGTAGTTGGTGGATAATCCACCTGAAGGAGAAGCAAGAAGGGGTACGAACTAGCCCAGAAACGTCGTGTGAAAACAACACAAATATATGGATAACAATTTCTTTATTTGTTTCAACTGATTATCCACCTGAAGAAGGGGCAAGAGCTAGCCAAGAAACGTCGTGTGAAAACAACTTGAAGACAAATATATGGATAACAACTTCTTTATTTGTTCCAACTGATTATCCACCTGAAGAAGGGGCAAGAACTAGCCCAGAAACGTCACGTGAAAACAAGACAAATATATTGATAACAATTTCTTTATTTGTTTCACCTAACTTAGTTGTTATCCATATATTTGTCTTGTATAACATGGTCTCAGGTTTGTGCCACATCCGACGAATCGTCCAGAGTGCCCGTTGGTTCAGGAATGTGTAACAAGCTGACAATTATTTTTAATATAAACGCAGAATTGAAAGGTATGAGTTCAGCCACATCATATACGCAATTCCCTGCTGAACACGGGATGGGTTGTGGGGTAACCTAGTGGTTAAAGCGTAACCAAGCGTAATCACGCCCGGGTTCGATTACTCACATGGTTACAATGTGTGAAGCTAATTTCTTGTCTTCCCTGTCGTGATATTGCTGGAATACTGTTAAAACGGCGTTAAACCATACTCACTCACTCACTCACCTACCCTACTGAACATTTGTATACCAGAACAGAAACTGATGGCTAAAAGAAACTAGTATCATCTCAGCTGTATCACTTGTTTGAACTTCAAAGAACTATGTCACATGGTATATGTTCTATGGATAATATCTTAATTTAACGACATTATATAAAAACACGAACTGTACTGAATCTCTGCCAGCACTCAAAGACAATTCTACATCGTTTATTTTCTAAAACATAATTTGCTTTAAATCGTGCATAGATAAAAAATCACACAATACGCAACAGCGGATGATTTCTTAGACATCTTGGTGGAAAATCAATAAATTTGTCTTTTTCCCAACATTTCAAACATGATAGGGGTCACGTGGTTGCAGATTCTTTTCTTACCCAAGGCTTCATTGAACCAATGTGTTTTTTACACAGAAGGACTTAACCACAGATTCCGTTCTACAAGTCATTTCAGGAATGAGTGCTTTTAACAACAGCTCTTGCAATTTTCTATGACATTAACAAAACAAGAACTCAACATTCTTTATTTTGACTATTTTTTATGGGTATCGACTATAAAACTAGAGTTTGGACAACGGTGGTCACTTATATATGATACCCGGATCCCGGGTATGAATTGATCTTCATTAACCCATGCTTGCCGTAATAGGCGACTAACGGGATCGGGTAGTCAGATTCGCTGACTTGGTTGACACATGTCATTGTATCCCAATTGCGTAGAACGATGCTCATGCTGTTGATCACTAGATTGTCTGGTCCAGACTCGATTATCTACAGACCGCCACCAAATAGCTGGAATATTGCTGAGTGCGGCGCTAAACAAGCAAGCAAGCAACCAAGCTATATATGAGACAATAGCGTTGTAAGGATACGGTGCATTGAACAGTAGCAATGACAATGTCGTTAACGAAGTGTACCCAGTATGGGAAAACCAAATCACAGAACCTATAACCAATACTCCTAGGCCCCGCGACAGTACGTAGATTCATTAAGCCAAAGTTGACGTATAAAATCACCACCCGTTAACCTAACGTTCGACCATATCCGACAACCCAATAGTTGCAGCAACGTAATGGACTACACGTGGTGGATCGGCGGAATTGTTGCCCTGTTATTACCCGAAATTGAGAGATGGATCTTGTTCTTGACAAAAAGATCGTTCACAAATGGTCTTGTTATCGACAAAGGAGCCGTGAGATTATTACATCTAAACAACCCAAATCGTCAGCTTCTGTTACACACTGTCTGCCATGGAGGGACTCGAGCGGATCAATATCAGTTGTACTGTAACATGAGATGCCAGTTTCTCTAACAGGTGATGGGGAGGGGAGGGGCGTGGCTGGAGGCTGATCAGGTGGTCACACGGGATGCTGAGTGGGAGCATCATCAGGAGAGAGTTGCGAGATGACGTGGTTGACCATTAACCATCGGTAACTCTCTCGACGCTCCACTTGACAGGCCTGATCAGTTGTTGACTGTTCTTGGTAAAATAGACCACCCGGTAGAAATAAACTACATCGTAATATTAAAAGACACGTTGTGACATGACTGAAATGGCTTGTTCTAACATATACTATGTTTTGATGCATCACTTTCTAGCAAAGGTCACGTATTGTGATACACCTGGTTCTGACATCGGCCATGTTGTGATACACCGGGTTCTGACATCGGCCATGTTGTGATACACCGGGTTCTGACATTGGCCATGTTGTGATACACCGGGTTCTGACATTGGCCATGTTGTGATACACCTGGTTCTAACTTTGGTCAT